GGGGGAAGGGGAGGGTGCAGAGCGCGACGTGTACGGCCAGGTGTGCCAATCTTCTTCTAACGGAAACGCGCGGGGAGAAGGGAAGGAGGGAAGAAAAGAAGGTGAAGGAGGAGCGACATCAGCGGTCTGCTGACGTCGTGAATCCTCTCCCACATCCTCTTTGGCTTCCCCTGCTCACCCGCTGCACCTACGCGCACCGATTTCAAGAAGAACACCGACACATCAAACCGGACACCTCGCTTCACACGCCCGACACCATTAAGTGTGCTTCACACAACACAACACAAACCCACAAGGGGGGAGGGGGGAGGGGGAGGAGCTCAACACGTGTAAACATAGAATGAAGTTAAAAAAGAAATGAATGAAAGAAGCGGTAGGAGGACTCACGCATACAATTATGGTACTTCCCTTGAAGTTGGCGTTGTTCTTCGTGTCAATGGCCCTGCCCATGGCCGTGTAGTCGCCGAACTCGATGTAGGCGGTTCCTTTCAGCTCTCCAGTGACGCGGTCCTTCAGAACGGTGCAGTTCAAAATTGTACCGCAGTCACCGAAGAACTGCGCGAGTTCCTCAGGCGTCGTCGTCGCCCCGCCGTCCGTGCCCTTCGGCAAGTTGCCCACGAAGACGGATCGACTGTCGGTGTCTTTGGAGAAGCTGTGCATGTTCGCAGCGGAGGCCGCGTTCGCACCGCCGGCGTTCACTTGAGATCCGGCGGCACCGCCCATGAAGGACTGCTGTTGGAAGAAGTCCTGCTGCTGCTGCTGCTGCTGCTGTGGAGGTGTAAAAGGGGAGGCATTCACGTTGAAGAGGCCTGCCGGTTGTGGGGGCTGCTGCTGCGCTTGGGCCTGCTGTTGTTGTTGCTGCGACGGTGCTGGAGCAAAGGGGTTCTCTCCGCCAAATTGGAACTGCTGCTGCTGCTGCTGCGACGGTGGTGGTTGCTGAGCCAGCTGCTGCTGCTGCGGCGGCGGCGGCGCGGCGGCTTGCTGGTGCTGCTGGGAGAGCTGCTGCTGGCGCATTTCGGCGTCCTGCGCCAACTCCGCCTCGATACGCGCTATTTCGGCGGATAAGTCGCTGTCCATTTTTCCCTTTTAAAAAGGGCTTTGTTTTGGTTGTTTCTGTGTAATGCCTCTTCGTGTGCAAGCTGAAGAAGAATCGGAGCAGCAATGAAGGAAAACACAGCAGCAAGAAAAGAGAATGAACAAACAAGTTCTTTGTGCGGGTCTCCTTTAACGCTCGGGTGCTATGAAATGCACGTCGAAGTACTTCTTCCACGTTTTCTCATGTCCGTTGAAGGAAAATAACAGAATTTTTTAGAAGATCATTCGGAAGTGGGAAAGGGAGAAGCTCCATCATGCGAGACGTAGCACCCGCTTCGAGCGCGGCCGCAACGGTAATAACTACTTCCCATTCACTTTGAAATGGAGCACCAGTCTGGGCTCCTGTTTTCGTTGGCGAGGCGTGTGCGTGGGGGACCTAATCGCAGCTATGTCTCCCCCTTTGCCTCCGCCCCCCTCCCCCCCTCGCTCGAGGACGAATACACGCTGATACGGTACAACGCTCACACCATCGAAAGCACGCCTCTTAGAGAGAGAGAGAGGCTGAAGTGAACTTCTACACTCTTCCTACTTTCGACGTAAAGGCTTCATTCCCATTTTCCATCCTTTGCGAGTGCCAATAGAGGGAGAGCAAGGGAGGCAGACACACATGCACAAGAAGCTGACCTCGTCGTTTAATTGGCGTACATCCCGCCAAGCAGGACTCTCCCTGAACGGAACAGAAGTTCCTCCACTAAATACACACACACACACGCACACAAGTAAATGTTCCTCTAAAAACCCTTCGCGGTCTTCAGCGCCAGCGCATCCACCTCCGGCTCCTTCGGTGCTACCGGCGCGGGAGGGAAGTACTGCTGAATGAACGTTACGTACGCGGGATCGGAGTTGACGATGGCGAAGAAGGCGCCGAGGTCGTAGCCGTCTGGGCCGACTGCACGCACGGCCTTCTTGGCCTGTAATTGCTCCCAGCTGAGCCCCGGGATGGCGCCGCAGATGAGCTGGTCGATCATTGCCTCGCTCACCTTCGGCTGGCCCTGGGCGTAGCTGAGGAAGGCCGTCTTGACGCGCTGCGTCTGATCCTGCGTGAGGCCCATCTTCGTTTACTTTCTAAATATGGGGAATAATGCCAGTGATAGATCGATGTGCGTTTAGCTGGTCGAAGAGAAGATTTAAAAGAAAAAAGTTGAAGTGGGGAAGAACACAACGTGTTTGCGGTTCTGAGAAGACCGAAGAAACGGATGAGGCAGATATGAAGTGTTGTGCGTACGGGGATTTACTGCGAGCTGCAATAGCAATCAGAGGCAGCTACCGCGAGTACTGTTTGCCCAAACTCGCCACAACGGCGACAGTGACATCACTTTCGTTCAAGCGAGCACCGCTGAACTTCTCCCGCACCACGGACGTGGTAGATGGAGAAGGAGATAGGTAGAGCTTTCTATGCTCTGTGGTGCCTTCACCACTTCTGCGATTCGGTACCGTGTAGCCTCTGTGATGGACCACCGACAACTGCCGACACTGCGCCGCAACACACACAGAAGAAAAGGAGCGCACACGCCTGCTCCGGTGTTGCCGCGTGAAGAAACAACGCGCGAGTAAAACAACAACAACAACAACGACAAGAAGAGCACCAATTTTCGAAGCCGCACGTATCACCGGGTGCATCTTCTATCGCCGTCACGCCAAGAACCAATATATATATATATATATGTGAGAGAAGCGGCCGTCCTCTTCCTGCGGGTACCTCGAAGGTGCGTTAATCCCACTTCATGTACGCCTTCATTTTGTTGGACGTCCACGTCATCACCTGTTCCCGCTCTGTCACACTGCACGCCGTCTTCGACAGCCCTGCTGGCTGGTACTTGGTATTCATGTAGTAGCCACCGTTTTTAACCCCCCCCCGCACACAGCAGTTCACCACGGTCTGACTGCCCTCCCAGGCCGTGCGCATGACCAAGGCGTACAGGTAATACAGGTACTTGAAGGAACCGGCCAGGGGGACGTCTCGGTACAGATTCGTGATCACCCCACCGGGAGAGCACACGCAGGCCGTGAAGCGGGGCTCGATGCTTACCTGGGCTGGGGTACTGGGATCGTGGCTGTTGGACTTACCAGAGGACGTGTCCGTTGCCGCCACAGCAGCAGCGGCATCTTCATAACCCGATCGTCGCGAAGTGCCGGTGCCGGCGGAGTAATGTGACCCACCCGCGGCCGTCATGGGCTGCTGCCGCGTCAGCCGGGAAGCGCGACTGCCTTTGCTCGACTCCGGGTAGGAGCGCAGCGCGAGCTGCTGTGCGTGGAAGATGTTGCCCAGCTTCGTGAAGCCGTACTGCTCTAACCCGTCAAACTTACCAGCCACCCGCGGCGACCACACACCACGCCCGCTGAGGTACGTCGAGACCACCTTGCCCTTTACCCCAACGTGCGCGGAGCACGCAACGTACACGATGCGGCCGTGCGCCGCCTCCACCAGCGGCAGCAGCCCCTCCGTCAGCAAATACGGACCCAGAAAGTTCGCAGCGAGCAGCACGTCGTCGCCGAAGCGCGTGACGACGTGGTGCTGCTGCATGCGACCGGCCGCGTTCACCAGCACGTCGATCGGCACCTGCCGGCGCCGTGCCCGCTTGCAGTAATCCCGCACGAGGATGAAGTCCTCCAAGTCTAAGGCGTGAAAGCAAATTTCCTGCGCTGCGGCATCCTTTGCGTGGCGGCGCACAAAGTCCACCGCCGGCTGGGCGTGAGGGGAGTCGCGCGCCAGCAGCGTCACGTGCGCACCCATCTGGGCGAGCTGCGCGGCGGTGGCGCGACCGATACCGCTGGTGCCACCCGTCACCACCACGTGCCGCCCCGTGAGATCCTTCACTTGGCGGTTGCGCCAGCCGGCAGCGACGACGCGTGAAACGGCGAAGAGGGCCACGAGGTACAAGCACTGAAACTCAAACGGGATGATCGGGAAGTTCGGCAGGTGCGTCACGATGTAGGCGATGAGGCAGCCGGCGGGGATGATGCTCATGGCGATGCTCTCCTTGAAAATGGTGAAGGTGTGCCGGCCGTAGTTGTAGACGTGCTCACCCTCGAACATCGAGACGTGGTGGAACATTCCAGGGAAGTGTGGTGTTTGCTTCACCTGCGAGAGCGCACGAGCAGACGGGCGAGCCGTGCGAAGCTTGATCGGGCTCGCACTAACACTACCGCTGCTACTGCTTTTGTCGCTGTGGGCACTAATGCCACGTACGTTGTGGGCTGCTGCATCCACTGTGGTGACCGCCTTCGCTGCTGCACAAGAAGCGGCGGCATTCGCCATGCCAGAGCTGCGGGACCACAACCACCACGACGACGTCAGCAGCCGTGGAGTGTAGCTGCATTGGTGTCGTACGGAGGCCACCGTGTGAGGGATGGCCATGCAGCGTCCCCGAACAAAGGCGCGCCTGAGAGGCGCTGCAATGACTGCGCGGCGGCACAGGGAGTTTCCTTTTATCATGGGAGAAAGGAAGACGAAGAGAGCAGCTTGTGGCGTGTTTCTCTGTGTGTCGTTCGGGGGGGGGGGGAGGGGAGTTCCTTGAGAGGACGAGCAGGCCTACTTCAAAAGACCCACAATTCAGCAAATCCTGCAGTTCGCCTTCACCCTCCCTTCCGTGTCGCTGTGAGAGGAGCCGCAGATGAACGAGAAGAGTACAGTTTTGAATAAAACAGACAGATGAAGGGGAAGGGCGAGCGAGATATACTTGTGTGAGCCGCGGCTTGCCAGCGTAGTCGGCGGTGGCTTTCGAGCCGCAGGTAATACTTAAAAAAAAAACCTTTGGGCTGTTTGGAAACGGAGAGAATTCCGCTTGAGGTACGACCGTAATGAAGCGCCTCTGCGTGACTTGCCGACACCGCCACATCGACAGTGCGCACCCTTCGCTACCATGTCCTCTTTGTTTTGCCAGCTCCTTGACCTCATCTGCTCATAGCGGATATTGCGAGTGCTCCGTGAGCAGTAGCACGCGTTCCTTGCTTTTACGTGCCTGTGATTCTTAGCTGGAAAACTTGCGAGCCGCTTTGTGCTTCTTAAAGAACTTCAAGAGGAGACTGTAAAGAACAACAATGGAGAACCAACGGACTGCGCTCTCAGGCACACAGATTATATACACACACACACAAGCAAACGTGCCAGCTAAACACTTTCTTCCTCCTTTTTTTGCTGAGGAAACAGCCACCATCACGCCTATCTTCCACGAAGGCCGACGCCTCAACGCCGACGACAACACCAGAGGGACTCTCCCTCAGCCGCAGGTACGTACATCGATAGAGCCGGAGAAGGGACTCACTCCGGCTTCAAAGTGTAGTACTTGGCGATCGTCTTCACCATCGCCCAGTGAATCACCTCATCTCTGCTCCTCGGGTCCTGTGCGCGCTTGCTCAGTCCGCTCGGCATCAACGTGCACTCCGCGTAGTACCCGCCGTTCTCGATGTCGTCCCGCACGCAGCAGTTCACTACGGTCTGACTGCCCTCGTAGGCGTCTTTGATCCACAGCGAGCGCAGCGTGCGGGCCACGACGTTCTTTCCCAAGAAGGGGTCGTTGTTCTCCTGCTGCAGCGACGTGAAGCAGAAGCCCGGGTCGGCGCAGCACACATCGACCGGGTGCAGGTCGCTGTGCCGGTTTAGCGGGATGCCCTCGTAGCGGCGGCTCGCGATGGACTGGGCGTGGTAGATGTTGCCCAGCTTCGACGCACTGTAGCACCGCGCCGTGATCTGCGACGCGTCCGGCCCGGGCAACAACGTCATCCGATCCTGCACGACGTGGCCGCGTGCGACGCCGTTGTGTGCGGCGCATGTGACGTAAACCACTCGCCCGCTCTTGTGTGGGGCCTTCCGCAGCGACGGCAGCAACGCCTCGGTGAAGTGGAAAGGACCGAGAAAGTTGACACCGATGTGCTCCTCAAACTTCTGCTTTGTTACGCCCGACTCCTCCTTCCAGACACCGGCGCAGTTCACCAGCAGGTCGACGCGGTCGTGCACGAGGGCCTTGATGCGCGCGGCGGCGGCCTTCACGTCGAGCTGGTCCATGTAATCCATTGAAACGAAGACGACGCGCTTCTCAAGTGGCTCGCAGGGCTCGGGGGCCGGCGGAGCAGCAGCGGCAGCCGCCGAGCTGCTCGCTGCGTCACCACTGCCTACCGTTGAGGTGCTCGACGACTCGGCCGTCGCGTTGCCCGCTGATGTCCGACAGTTCTGAAGGAAGAACTCCATCGTCTCCTTCTCCTTCCCCGCCGGCGCAGCGATGATCACACGCGCACCCATGTCGAGAAGCTGCATAGCCGTGTACAAACCAATCCCACTCGTGCCGCCCGTCACCACACAGGTGTAGCCCGTGAGATCCTTCTTCACGTGATTTGCCCGACCGTGCACACTGAGGCGCTGCGCCACGACACTCGCCGTCGCGTACAGCCCCACCTGGAGCGGCGTGAGGTAGGCGGAGAGGGCGTAGTAACCCGCGTACAGAACCAGCGGCAGCCACATCCGACGGCTGTGCAGCAGAAGGTAGCCCATGTGCGACGCGGCGGAGTAGGACGGCACGTCATCGGCCCCACCGACGTAGGCGGAGGCCTCCGCCTTGTCCTCGCTGAACTTGTGGATCGTGGTACTGCTCGGCGCGGCCCACGCAGGCTTCGATGCCTTTGTTTTGGAAGCCGCCGCAGCCGCCGAGGTGGAAGGGGTAGAGGGGGAGGAAGAGGCGGAGGCTGCGCTGGTCTTCTCCGTTGTGACGGTGGTGGTGCTGGAAGTAGTCGTGGTGGTGCGCAGGCGACGTGCCTCAGAGAGCTGGACAGCGGATAACGATGCCGTCATCGCCGTCGTCAAGAGACCGTGGCGCTGGGCCGCGACGCAGCTACGTACGCCAAAGCGGAGCATGAAGAACGAAGACAAAATCACAAAACCAGCAGAACCCCAAGGCGGCGTATCTCCTGAAGAAGGCGAGAAGCTAGAGCAATGATGATGATGATTCTAAACGTACATTACACACTCATGCTGCAGCATCATCAATTGTATGTAATGTGGTGAAAGAAGAAAAAGAAGAAGCAGAGGGTCGGAGAGCGAGGAGGGCATGACAGGAGCTGCACTGCAGTCATCGCTGAATAACAGGATTCCCACAGCAAAAACAAACAGAAGAAAGCGAACAGCTGCCGGCGGCGACTCGACGAGTGGGGCGCTGCCGAATGAGAAGCAGCAGCAACGCCGTTGCGCTCTGAGTTTCAAGCCCATTCGCTTCTTGCTTCATCTGCCCTCCTTGATTCGCTTTCTTTCTCTTTTTACTCTTCCTTGCGCTACAGAGGAAAGGAAGCTGCATTACTACTGTTCGGCAAAGTTCTGTGACACACACACACACACACACACACACACACACATGCGCACACACACACGCGTTCAAAGCCATGCATGCGTCCGAAGCAGGCGCTGCGTAATACACCGTTAAAACTGACAGGTGATAAAGCTCGAGTGAATAAAAAGAAGGCGAAAAAAAGCAGCGCCTCCAGCGACGACGCTTCAAAGCACAGTAAAAATATATAAAAAGCCACTTTTTCAGTCGTCGTCGTACTCTGGGCGTGGTGCCAGCTCCCACTCTGGCCGTCGCTGCACCGACTTTATGGTCTGCTTGTTTGCGGTGCCGTTGTAGTCGCCGATCTTCTTCGCCACGTTCTCCTTCGTTACCTCCGGCTGCTCCAGCCACTCCTCCAGGTACTCATCTCGTGCCTTGGCCATGGTGTCCCGCTGATCCTCGTAGGAGTACTCCGCCCAGTACTTGCGCTGTCGCGGGTCGAAGTACTGCGGGTTTTTCTCCTCTAAGTTTACGTACGCCGCCTTCATACGCTTTTGATAGGGCATTTCCTGATGCCGCATCGAGTTCTTCTCCACCGGCACCCCGGAGCGTAGATCGTACCGCGACTTCTCCTCGTAGGACATGTACATGCGATTTTTCTTGTACCACTCACTGTGCCCCTCCTCGCCCGGTTCCGGGCCCCACTCCTCAGGCCACCCAAACTCCGGCGGCGGCGTAAAGCCTTCCTTGTCCTTCTTCCAGTCATGTAGGTGGTGCAGCTTCTCCGACTCCGTCAACTGCTTCCTTGGCTCGAGGGACTTCACCGAAGCGCTCTGCAGTTGATCTTCATAGTAGGCGTAGCGAGGTGCCGGGTCGTGCTTTGGGTACATATCCTCGAAGAAGCGATAACCACCTCCTGTCCCGCCGCTGCTGCTGCTGCTGCTGCCAGTGGAACCGAGGCGGCAAACGGCCGTGCAGCGAACTGCCGCAGCGACACACACCAGCAAAGTCGGACGCATCGAATGAAGAGGAGAGACTCAACAAATTCTAAATATGTTTTTTGCAAATTGCGATACTCGTCGTGTCGGTACCCGTTACAAAGCTACGCGCTACTGAATCACGTACAGTCTGCAGGTTGATTGAAATCACCACCACCACGCGATCGCAGTGAACGACAAGTAAAGAGCGCGCCTTCACAGACAGGAAGGGGAAATAAAAAGCGGCAGAGAAGGACAAGAGAAGGCGACGACAGACACGATGGAAGTAACGAGACCGCATGCTTTTGTGTGGTGAGCGGCCACGTCATCAAATTAAAAAAAAAAGGAAAAGAAGTTGCTACGCACACACATCACAGGGAACCGCCGCAAGCTTGGAGACGTGGCACACACGCCCAGTAACTGCAGAGTACTGACCTCTCTTCTTGAGAAGCGCCTGCCAGTTGCGTGGTGCTCAAGAGAAACTGTATAGATCTTAGCGCGACAAATAGTAATAGTAATCAACCATAGTTAATTCAGCTTTCAATCTACGATAACGGCAAAGGGACAACGGTAACGCATTCTTCTGTCGCTCAACGCTAGAAGTGAGAAGCGCTTACTTGTTGGTTTATTGCTTCTTCTTTCCATCACAAAGAAACACACGAATACACACACACACCACCCAGTACAACATCAAATAACTAAAGACTTGTCCTTTTCCCTTCCTTTTACACTGCTCAACACATACACAACTTCTGCAGCTGGTTATATAAGCAAATAAATATATGTATATTAGTATTCTAGAACTTCTCCGGCAGCACTCGGCTGATGAAGGCGGCCAAGTCATCGATTTCCTGCGGTACGGCGGAGTGCTGCATGTCGTACTCCTTAAAGTCAACCTGCGCGACGCCGGCGTCCTTCTCCAAAATCTCCTTCGACTCGTGGGCAACCGCCAGCGGCACCACCGGGTCCTGCCGGCCGTGGAACATCGTGATCGGCACCGCCTTGTTCACAATGCGCGGCACCATGTCCGCCGCAGCAGCCAAGTAGCCAGACATGCACGCGATACCGGCTGGGGCGACATGTGCGGTCAGCCCTGTGCTCAGCGCGACGGCCGCGCCTTGCGAGAATCCACCGTACACCACACGCCGTGGTAGGATGCCGTACTTCTTTGTCGCGACGTGCACGACGCTGCGGACGTAGTCGCCGGAGAGATGGATCTCCGCTGCACCCCGCCTGCTTGAGCGCAGGCCCTCGCCGATCATGTCCGTAATATCATACCACGCTGGCATCTTCATGCCGCCGTTGATCGTCACAGGGCGCGACGGCGCGGTCGGCAGCAAAAAGAGAAGGTAGGGCATGCGGCGGGCCAGCTCATACCCCACGTCCTCCCAGCCATGAGCGGAGTCGCCGAGGCCGTGGGCGAGGGTCACCACCCCTGTCGGGTTCTTCTTGTTGCCCATCTCCAGCAGCGTCCCGTAGCGGAGGCCGTGCGTGATGGGCGCCGTGTCCCGCACCGTCTGCAACTTCTTTTGCAGGTCTCCCACCTCGATGCAGTCGCCGAAGTCGGTGACGGCGTAGAGGGCGCGCAGCTCCTCCTTGATCTGCGCATTCGACAGCTGCTCGATTGGGGTGGACATCGCTGCACAAGACGGAGGCTCTTCTTTTCCTAGATACTTCCGTGAGGCGTGATCTGAACTTATGTAGCTGTGGGGCGGCGCGGCAGCGGCACACTCGGCGTTCGTGCTGCTCGTTCGCGCCGGCGTGGTAGAGGGTGGGAGGGGGAGGAGAAGGAGGGGGCAGAGCAGATGGAGCGGTAGACGGCGCAGGTGGCTTGGCCGTTCATGGGCTGGATGCGTTATCGTGTGGAGTGGGCTGCTTCGTGGTGTAGGGCGCGATGGCGATGGCGATCGAAGCGGCGACGAGCAGCACCGCAATCGACTTGAGCAGCGGCACGGCAGAGGGCTCGGCGGTGGCTGCAGCGGGCACCTGACCTAAATCGGGCCTCATTTTGGAAATAATAATACTAATAATCAAAATTCGAATACTCGTGTGAAAAAAACTTTCAAAGTGATTTCTTTCCTTCTATTGGTTTTTGAAGAGAAGTAATGCTGTGACGGTCGTGCACCACGGCCACCCACAGAAGAGCACAGTTCCGAGGGGCTCGAAAGGGCGGACGTCAAACGACACCAGCCACAACAACCATCAACAGATCCACGTCAAGCACAACAGCAAAACAAACAACAAAAAACAGGCGAAACAGGTATGACCAATTCAGGGGAATAGCTAGTTTTGCTGATGCTTCAAAGCGAACGCATCACGGCGGATATGGCTTCCGCCCCCTTCGAAATCAATAAAAAGAAGAACTCCAATGCCATTCATTTGCCGCCGGAACAATCACCCTACTTCACCCTTCGTACTCTTCCCGTGTCGCGGTTCTCCGATGGAGTCCCTCCTCTCCGATCACGTGTGTCTCAAGAATGCAGCGAGAGCGAAAAACATGAACGTTGTTGAGATGACGGGAGGAGGCGCACGGAGAGCGGCCCGACGCGGCCGGCCGCGAGACTTCACAGCAGCCCAAAGTACTCCGTTTCCTCGGATACGAATACTTCCGTTCTCTTTATTTATTGTAGAAGACGCACCGTCGTACCGATCACTCTTTTGCGCCTCTACGAAGAGTACCACGCATCAACAACGACTCAATCAAACACCAACTAACAACAACAAAAGGGAGGTGCCGGAGTGATGATGCATTCACCGGTCTGCGCCACCGCAGTACCCAAAAGAACAACAACAACAGCAACGAACGGCCCCCTTCATTTGTATTGTTTTCATTGCCGCTTCTTCGCTGCGGTGGGGACACCATTAGAAGCTGGCGTAGGAGCCGCCGCATTCACCGCGGCAGATGCCTTGCGCCTCGTCTGCAGCCACGCTACTCCGTAAACCAGCCCGTACAGGCAGCCAACGTACACGACAGGAAACACCCAACGGTTAAAGAAGCTCGTACGCGAGGCCAGTTGCTCCATCGTGGTGCGCAGCACCGCCTGCTCACAGAAGGCACCCGTCACGCCCTTCAAACGCATCTGAATGGTGGCTACCGGGGCATCGTTGGCGGCCTTCACGTCGCGCAACGCCACAGCGAAGACCAGCTGCACACGAGTGGAGTCCTCCGCATCGAAGGCCTTCGTGAGCTGCTCCGAGACACGCACGCTGCCCACGCGAACGTCGCCCTCCGTCCCGACGACGCCGGACTCCGCACCGGGCAGGACAACAAACTCCGTCCACATGCTGCCTTCCGATGTGTGCGAGAAGTTCTGGGGAGGGCGTTGCGCAGCGCTACGAGGAGCGGCCCCGGCAGCACTCGCCTCCGTCTTTTCGCCGTGTTTTGGGGTCTCTTCCACCGTGTGCATCCGCCGACGGCGGCGGCTTCCTGCGCTGCTGTGCGAAGCGGGTCGCGTCGTTGCCGTCTCCGTTGTCTCTGCCTCCGCGTCGTCGCCGTCGGCATCCTTTCCCACCGCCGCTTCCATTTGCGGTGACTCCACGCGGTAGTTAAAGAAGAAACCTTCTCCGCTGTCACGCGCCAGGTAGCAGCGACCATGCAGCCCTGCGTGTCCACTGCGTGGGCTGCGCTCTGCCGGCCCATACTCTTCACAGGCGAGGCCGTGAAAGGAGAAGCCAGGGCGTCCGAAGAGCCGCCGGCGCTGCGCACGCAGCAACACGTTGTCATCGTGCACATTCCCCTTCTCTTCCGCTATCAGCACCGTACCATCCATGGTCGGCTGCCCTTCTTCCTCTACGTCCTCCACGTCCTCCGTTCGGTAGTACGAAGTGCCGGGCGGGGGCAGGGCAAAGAGCAGAGAAGCAGCGCTCTCCAGCGGCTGACCCTCGACCCACGTCTCACGCATGTCTGTCCACGCCACGGTCTCCGGTGCCGCTGCTGCTGCGGCGCTGTTTTCACTTGCCGACGAGGGCACGCGACTGCCCAGTGCCACGGACCACTGCGACTTCTCTGCGTTGAGGAGGTTGACCAGGCTGGCGTGCAGCACCACCGGTGCGTCGTCCGGCGCGATCGCCTGCACCGTAGGACAACAAAAGGCGAGGAGGCAGCCGCCCAGCAACAGCAGAGCCGCCGTAGCGGCTTTGATTGACGGACGCATGCCGACACTCGACAAGAAAGTCCCTTTGCCTTATTTTTCTTCTAGGAGTGGAAGTAGCCAATTGTAGCTTTAACAAATATAAAAGGCAGTCGGTATGGAATGACTGCCCTTCGTACAGTAATAATAATAATAATAATAGAGTTGTAAACGCAGGAAGACGCAACGCCTTCTTCGTTGTGCTCTGCAAGATCTTACGTGTAACGGAAGAGGAGTGAGGTGTCGCGCATATTATTGTTTTAGCATTTCGCATAATCTCTTTCGTGAGAGCACATCGCTGGACGATTTCCTTTTTTAGCCGTTACATCAACTCTTGGTGCTGTTCGGTGGCTGCCGTGCCCGTCGTCTGTGGACTAGTAGAGAAGGTCAGCGCAGACAACACAGGAGGTGATCGATGTATACGTATTCTTTTCCCTCCTCTCCCACTCTCTCCAATTCCGATCTCCTTTTCTTTTTCTTTTTCTTTTAATGGGGAATCGGCAACGGATCGTTTCCAAAACATAGCGAAGGGTTTCCAATCGGCTGCAATGCGTTGGAGTTAAGAGCTCACGTGTGGCGTAGTTCGGGCAAGCGCCAGCTGCGCCCGCGACACACACACAGTTAAGAGAAAAAGAGGAGAAGAGGAGGAGGTAAGTCCGCACGCGTACATCAAACCTTGAGGTGTATATTTGAAATCGGAGGGAGAATGAAAACAAAAAGGAAAAAAATAAAGAAGCACGCAGGATCAACAGTGCGAAGAAATGAAAAGAAAGAAAGAAAATGTGGGGTACAGCCGAAAGAGATAAATAAGAAAGAAGGGATAAATAAATCGCATTTTCACGAGCAAAGAAGTTCACTTCAGAACAGCATTTTACGTAGCACGACTATTGCGCTGCAATACGGATATAAATATTTATATATGTAGGCGCTCTCCTCAGTTCTGCGAGAGGGGGGTGGGGGTGGGGGTGGGCTGTCTTGTCAATCCACACACACACACACACACACACACACACACGAGACGTGATTCGTGCACGACGATGGTTGCTGCACGGTGACTCAGGCACACTCGACGCCTTGAGACGGTCCGCGAGGGCACGCCGACTTGACAACATAAAAATCTTCGCCGTAGACCTCCGTCAGCAGCGCACACAACTTGCCCTCCTGGTCGTTGAAGTCGTGCAGCATCGCCTCCAGCGTTTGACGCTCCGTCTCTGGTTGGTACTCGATGAAGCGCACGACGGTGCAATACGTCCGCGCGCCGTCCTCGCCGTTGTCCGTCGTGCACCCCTGCAGTCGCGGCAGCGACGGCAGCAACTCCGTCCCTTCCAGCGTGCCGGCTGCGTGTGGTGTAGCACTCGTGTAGTGGTTCGCCGACGCAACGGAGCGCTGCCGCACGCGATCGGCGATGGGCGTGTTCATCTCCAGCGGGTCCGCGTCACTTCGTAATGCGCGGGTGCTACGCTTCGCCTCTGCAGCGGCTGGGGCAAGGGCCACTGCCTGGCTGCCGGCGTGGGATCGAAACGGCGTATCCCGCGACTCCACCGCCGCCGACTGCGAGGCGCGACGCTCTTCGATCTTTTGCTGACTGTAGAGGTGGTCGTGACGGTCCACGGTGGCGCGACGTGCGTTGCCGCTGCTGCACCGGCTGCTGCCATTGCACGTCTGCCGGTGCTGCGGCTCCGCATTGCCTTTTCGAGAGCCAACGGAGCGGGGGGGGCTGACCTCTTTCTCCGAGTAGCTGCGAGACGGTGGGCCCTGGCGGTGGCAGCTGACGTTGTCCCGCTGCGAGGAGGCGGCTGCTTGACTTTCATTGACATGCGGCAGCAGCGCTGACGGCTGTGGTGGAAAGTGCCAACTGCGCTGCGCAGGATCGTCTTCGTGCGGTGCAAAAGGGGCGCTCCGCTCTCGAGGCTGACTGCTGCCACCCATCCCTGACGAGCAGCTGCGCACGGAGCGCTTCACAGAGTTGTTGCGGCTCTGCGAACTCGGATGGTCGTGACTCAGCCGCCTGTCGTGCTCCTCTCGTGCGCGACTGTGGTGTGTGCTGGAGATCGGGTTCGACCGCAGCTGCTCCGACGGCGCTGCGTCACTGCGGCCCCCACGCCACCACTCTTCGTCGTCGTCTCCCCCTTCCGCCGACTTCATGCAGTTCAAACACGGCGAGCTGCTGTCGCTGCGGCTGCGGGAGCCGGGCAATATACGCCCCCACTCCCGCTTTGAAGTGCTGGGGCGGCCGTAGCCCCTCTCGCTGGCCGCGTTCACGTTTAGTGACGCGCTTTTGTTTCCTTTGCTCTTAGAGGAAGCCGCGCTTGCGCTCTGCGAGGGGGAGGCCAGGGGGGCGTTGGGCGGGTTGCTGGTCGGGCCGTGGTAGACGACCAGCTGCGAGGCCCTCCGTTGACTCGCCGGGATGTCGTGGAACTCCCCTCCCCGCGGCGTCTCGGTCCGGCCGGGGGAGTCGGCGCGGACGGTGATGCTGCGCTGCTCCTCCGCACGGTGGGTGGGCAGTCGCAGGATGTCGCTGTGCCGGGACGGGGTACGCTTCGGTGGCAGCGGCAGGGCACGTCCGGTGGCGGTGTAATACTGATGGGCGCCGGACATGGTGACGAGGGAGAATGAAGAAGAGAAGAAGAAAAAAAGAAAGCTTTGATTTACTTCGCTGAGGGTCGTTTTGGAGGTTTATAAACACGCCGATGTTTGAGTTTTCAAGACGAGGAAGCAGAGCTGAACGCAGCAGTAAGTAAAGGAAGAAAAGAAAAAGGGCAGTCAGTTAAGAAAAGACTTAGCCGTTGTTATCCAGCAGTGCGAAAGCAAGAGATATACGATGCTTCTCGTGCTGGGCGGAGGTTGTGGTACAGTGTGGAAATCACCGGGGATGAGTGGAAGAAACACGAATGAAAAAAGGAGAAAGCGGAAGAAATCTGTGACATCGGCCTTTTCGTGTTGTTTTGTTTGTTTGTTTGTTTCCTCGCGCGCCCTAATTGCGAAAGGAAAGAAAGATAGAGGGGAGGGGAAAGAAAGAGTAAGAAGGGGGTGGATGGGGGTGTGAAAAGGGTCGGTCAGCGTTGCGGTACCACGAGACACAGCACCGGAAAAGGCGAACCCTCACGCACTTTCTAATCGGCAGATCTTTTGCTACACAGAGCACCGTTTCGTTGGTTGTTTTAATGACTCCTCCCATCATCTTCCAAACAAACAAACAAAAATAAAGCCCCGTGTCCTTTCTTTCTCGTATCGTGGTTGTGTGTTTGAACGTGCGAACGATGACGATACGAAACCAACGTAATCTATTTTTGCGTTCATTCACAAGAGAGAACAACGACACAAAATAGTAACAGTAAAAGAGGAAAACCCACAGAAAAATGGCGCGGTAGAAAGCCGAAAGCCAGAGAAAGTGCGTGTATGTATATCGCGTATTCAAAGATGCGCCACTTCAATTCCCTGACGCGGAAGTGATTACGCATTTTGCTGTTCTCGCAATCGATGATACTCCCTCAGCTTTTAGCGCCCACTTAGGTGCTTGAGCACGCGCTTCATGTACACAGAGCTGAGGTACAGCTCCTCTGTAAACCATTGCGTCTCTGCGGCAACGGCGGCGGCGTCACGAACACCACCTGCCGAGCTGATAGAATGACCGGCATCAACGCCGTCCTCGACGTCCTCCGCCGCGTCAACGTTCAGCGGGCGCTTCACCGAGACGGTTGCACCACCGCATGCAACATCCGTCGCCGTTGTTGCAGTCGCCGCCCGCTCACTCGTCGTGCTCTCCCTCCAGTTCGCATGCGGGGCGAGCAGCAGGGACGCGCGTAGCTCCTGCACAAACAGAGTCGTGACTAAGTGCCGTGACGGCTCCAACGCCGCACGCGCCGCCACACGACGCCACAGCAGCCGCAGCGGGGGCAGAGACTCCGTCAGGGCTTCGTACGACGCGTGACGTGCGCGTGGGGTGACGCCGTTCTTGCTTTTCGAATTCCCTTCTTCGTTTCGTTCATGATCTTCATCCAGTCGGACTTGATCATCGTCGGTGGTCGGTGCTGCTTGAAAGGACGAGAAACTGACGGAGGGGGATTCGCTTTGCGCTCGCTCGAGTGTCGCGCCATCTCCCTCTCCCACCGCACTGGTGCTGGTGTGTTTATCTTCTGCTACGTCAACTGCTGCCTCTCTTTCTTCTTCTTCGTCTTCGCTGCCGGCGGTGCCGTCATCGACCGCGTAGTCCGTCGTCCACTCGTTGATCGGCTCGTGGCGTCGGGGTGACTTGACCGAACCGCTGCCGTCCTTGAGCGAGATCGGCTTTGCATCGCCAGCCTTGTCCTTGTCCTGTGCGGAGACGGCCCCCTCTGCGGTGGCAGTTTGCCACCAACTGAGTCGTTCCTCCAGCTGGCAGTTCACCTCCTCCAGGGCGTGGACAAGTCGTCGCCACACAAGCTGGCCAAGACGCTGCTGAACCGTGTCCAGCAGTGCCTCCAGCAGGTCAACGGACGCCAACACCGCCTGCACGCCGGTTCGCCGACTTTTGTTCTTGTCCATGCTGTGCAGCTCATTGTTTGGGACGACCGAAGAGGCGCCGTTCGCGTCCTCATCGCGACAAAGTTCTTGCAGCTGGCGCAGGGTGCTCAGGGTGTGTGTGAAGAGACTGCAGAGTGTCTGCAAGAGCCGCACCTGCGCCGAGCGAGACGGCGCCGCGGCGGGGACGACGGCGCTGCTGTACAGGAAGAGAACGGCGTCCTCAACCTGAGAAGAAGCAGCAGTAGAAGCAGAAGAGGAGAGTGCGCGAGCGAGCCCGCCGTGCTTCCCCGACGAAATCCTTCTCTCCGGTGTCGCCCGCAAAGATGCCGTGTGCGCCGCAGCGAGGGTGCGAAACTGGTGTGCCTCGCTGCGCAGCCCACGCATATCTCGCCCGTCCTCCAACGCCTTTCCGTGACGACGAAGCAGCTGGGGGAGGGCATCGCTGCCGTGTCCGGCGAGCCCGGCCAACCCCTCCACTGCCTTTGCGTGCAGCTGGAGAGGGGAGGCAGCTGTTTCGAGTGCCGCCGTCCCCTCGCTTTGCGGTGCGCGCGTCACGCGTGCGACGGCGGAGGGCAGCGCGTGGCCGACGTCCCACATCAGATGTGTGAAAAAGTGGCTAAAGGCGGCCACCGCGTTGTGCTCCGCGTCCATCGTCGGCGCGAAGGTGAAGGCGGCCAGCGGTGGTGGGCCGTCCCGAGCTGCTCCTTCATTCTCTGCCGCTTTACAGGTGTCCTTTGCCTTCCGCAGGCATTCGCGCAGCAGTCGCCACATCTCCTCGACGGCGTAGTGCGCGTGAAGAAGATAGCGAATGTCTTGACGCAGCGTGAGAAAGCAAAGGGTGAGCAGGGCGGGAGGAACGCAGTGGCGAAACCACGCATACGGGGACAGAGCGGGTGCGGCCGACGAGGGTGTCGACGGCGGGAGTCGCTGCGCGTCGGCTGGGCGGTGCTCGTTGTTGCTCTTGCTTTTAAGCTTGCTGCGGTGGCCGCCGCCCACGTGCGGTGCAGCGGCGGTCGTCTTCAGAAGCGACGCGTGGGGAGGAGAGCTACGCTTCTGCTCCGTCAACGCAGCCGGCGCGGCCTCGGTGCCCTCGTGAATAAACCGAACAGAGGCAGCGATCAGGGAAGGCCGCCAGAGCACGTGCTCGAGCAGCAAGTCGGGCAGACACGACGCCGGTTTGGTTGGGTTCGCGGTCGCACCGGGCGGCGTCAGCAGTGTGCGGCGGAGGTCGGCCATGCTGTCTGCGTAGGCCTGCCATGCCGCACGTGTCTCCCCTGCGTGTGGCGTTCGTTGAGACAACAACTCATCTCTCCGCCTGCTTTTGTTCTGCTCCACAGTGGCCTTCGTGTGCGGGGTGCAAGAGGTGGTGATCGCTTTGTGAGCCGCCGCCGCACCGTCGTCGTCGCGGTCTTCCGAGGACGTCTGCGTGTACAGCCGAGCGTGCGACGGGATCAAGCAGTTCAGCTCCGTGTCAAGCGCCTTCAACGTGCGTGCCATACCGCGAGCACACAAGTAATCCCGCAGCACCGCCGAGAAGCGAAGGTCACGAATTGCGTCCGGTGAGGGGACGGCCGTGGCAGTGGCGTCGGCTGACCGCCCCGCCAAAGGCGACAGCGACGCGCCATCCACGGCAGCTGCCGACGCAGGTTGGCTCTCCTTTTCAGCTATGGCAGACATGAAGTCCCCCGCACCCACCTCCACCCGTGAGGTGCTGTTGCTGCCGGCCGCCGCTGCAGCACCACCTGCGTGATTTTCCCCGTCGGCGGCGTCCAGGCCGCGTTGACGCACCGAGGCGATGGCGAGTGCGCGGACGTACTGCGCCAGTGGAAAACACGGTTGGTGCGGTGGCGGAGCGCCAGGCGATGCTGCGTGGATACGTGGCGCGGCATCGCTGAGGCACGCCGAACCGGTGTAGAAGCGAACCGTGATGTCGGTCGCGAGCTGCGGACGCCGCGCGAGGCCGATTGCGAAATACAAACTCCCATCATCGGCGGCGGGGTCCATTGAATGGGTGCTCACAATTTGTGTATTGACGGTGAAGGATAGCGTGTGCTGGATGAGGTCGACCAGGCACCCGACCACGTCTCCCTCACCGATGCGGCCACCACCACCACCTCCACTACCGCTGCCGCTGTTGCCGATATCGCACGGCACGATGACCTCGTCTGTGTCCTCACCCCCATGCTTCACGATGTGCCGCTGCGTCACGTAGAAGCCGATGCTGTTGTTTGCCTCTCCTGGCAGGTTAAACCACGGTAGCTGACGCGGACAGACGCCCACCACCAGAGCCGGCAGCGGGTGCTTGCTCGACGGTGTCGGCGACGCAGGCTTCGTCTTCGCCTCGGCTGTCAGCGTCGCTTGTTTGCTGTCTCCCTTCGCTGCTGTGGAGGAGTTACCAGACTCCGTGGGGCGGCCCACCACGCACTCCATTAAGAGTACACCATTTTGTGCGAGAATGGGAAGGTTGCTCTTCACGTGGAAGCAGTCCGACGCCCCAGTGGTGCGGCGCTGCAGCTGCTGCTCCATCTCCTTGTACGACAGCGCGGGTCGGGGAGCGAGGTGCAAAACACACCCGACGTTGTTGCGGCCGCTCCGGCCATCAGAGGAGCGGGGACGATGCGGGTGCCGCGCCTTCGGTGTCGCGTTCATTGGGCTTTTGGACTTTGGCACCTCGGAAGGCTTCAGTGTTGTCTCCAAATCTGCACTCGCAGCAGGAGCATCGGCAGTAGCGGCGGCGGCTGTGGCAGAGGACGGAGGTGCCGTGTCTGTTGTGCTGTGCAGCGGCGGGGCAAGCGTTGGGGAGGCAGTGATTGCAGACAGCAGCTGCTGCGAAACGAAGGAGTCACCCGCCGGACTGGAGGAGTGTGTGTGACGCATCTCCGCTGCGAGTGCCCTGACGTTCATGGACGTCGGCGCAAGAAACTCCCAGCCTGTATAAAACATCTCAAAGGAAGTTCTGGGAGAGACGACGCCGACAGACAAACAGCAACACAATAAAGGAACAAGGCGCGGCTGCGCAGCTACGAGAGAAACAACGATCTAAACCAAAGAACAGCAGAGGCGCAAAGGATGACTCCCCCCCCAAAAAAGCAAGAGAGAGAGCAGTAGAGAACGAAAAGACGTCAGCTTCTTTGCGCTTCCAATGCACTCGATGGAAGCTTTTGTGCGGCGTCACCGTAAATAAGTATTAATAATAATAATAGTTTTCACTAAAAATGGGAAAAGAAAAGCGCAGGAAAGTCAAGAGAAACCAAAAAAAAACTTAAAAGGAAAGCGTGGAGAGAGAACCACAAGCAGGAAGGAGGAATACAAAATATTTCTCGTGACAGTTCGATACGCGTTTTGAAAACGTCCTCACACGAAGAAGTGAGTGAAAGTGAAGCAGCTAAAATCAAACAAACAAACAACAACACAAAGGTGATAGATGGGGTGGTGAGCTTGTACGTGCGTGACAGCACAGCTGACCCAATGTGTGCCGTTACCGAGAAGAAGAAGAAGGTAGAAAGAGAGAGGGAGAGAGCAAAGGCGCAGGTGTGAAGGGCAGTGAAACGATAAAACCGGAATTTTGTCGCGCTTGCCAGGCTGACGCCACGCACGGAGACGAAGTAAGCGGGGGGCGCTTCACGAATGCCTCCGTCCAGTGGCATTCACCTCCAAAACAGGAGAGCAAATAGAAGCCGTCCTTTATTATCTGCTGACACAGATTTTCAATGCACCTTCCGCTTGTACAAGGGGAGGCCAGGTGCACTGCGCTAACCACGATGTGCCCGGGTCACGTCTTCTTTCCTTCTTCCCACTCATTATTTCTTCCTTTCTCCCAGTTGCCACCGCATTCGGTGCTGCGAGAAAGGCGAAGTGGAAAGGGTTAGAGGTGGGACCCCCAACAACAAAAAAGCTGCTGCTGTTGCTGTTGAGGTCTTCGTTGCGTGTGCAGGTGACACCACAGCCACGTCGCCTCATGTTCTTGCGTTTTTTCCCTTATTTTACGTTTTCTTCTCCATTTTCTTACTCTACAGCCATCCATCGTCATCAATTAACAGTGGAGCAAACAACAACACCGGAATAAATAAATAAAAGAAGAGGGTAGAAAATACTTTTGCCACAGATAAGAATCCTTACAAAAAAAAAAAACAAGACCTTACGTTGCTTTCGTGCGCGTCTCCTTCCTTTTAAAGTAGGAGAACGGAGACGAGTACGAAAGAAAGAGAGGACGAAAGACCGAGAGGACGAAAGACCGAAAAGACGGAGTGTGTGTGCGTGTGTGTGCGTGTAGGCAACAACAAAGTACTTTTTTTTATATACACACTTACGCCTCGACGCACACGTACTCACATGCGGTATTTGTCCTCTACGACATCACACGCACACACACACACACATACAGCGACAGTGGAGAGAGAGAGGGAGGGAGAGTATGAAATGAGCACTTCTCTGTGACGACTCCAGAAGAAAAATAAAAATGAAAATGAAATAAAGCGAGAGGTGACAATAGAATTGAAAACAGTTACACCGGAAACGAAGAGAGAGAGAGAGAGTACGGAAAAGTAGAGAAAAAAAAACAACGGCACATCAAAGAGTTGAAGATAACAAGTGAAAAAGAGAAAAAATATATAAACACACACACACACATTTATGTTGTTGAACTTGAGAAACAACATCAGCCAAAAAAAAAAGTTAGACGCTTGAATGGAAACTAGATGATACAATAGGGCAATATGAAAGCATCGAATAATCATCGAAGAGCCGTTGTCTTCTCTACAAAATAATAATAATGTTAATAATACGCGTCGATGCTTTCAAACCTATTTTTCTCTTTCTCTCCCTGCGTAAATAATGCAACAGAGGAAAGAGCTGTCCGACGGTGAGCGCCGTACGCCGCACACGAGACAGAATTCTGAGAAGAGGTGGTAGTACACTCGCTGTTCGGTGTACTGCATTGGGAATGCAGTACATCCACAGTCCACTACCTTATACATACATATATATATATATATATATATATATTTTCTCCCAGTTGGCAAAAAAGAACTGCCTTTCCGTTCACGTCAATGTTCCAGCGAAGTCAAAGGCTTCCTGCGATTTTCATTATTTCCTTCTTCTTTTTCTCTCCAGCGCGTCCCCGCGGCGGAGTGGGGACGCGCTGGAGAGAAACCGCTCTCAACCCTGCGGGAGAGAGAGAGAGAGCGCCTTTTGCTTTATTCCTTTTAAAACGTACGCAGAAAGCAGCAGCGACGATACAAGGGCGAACAACGGCAACGACGCGTAAAACGAGAAAATAAATCGATAAAAACAGAAATCGAAGCTACGGGATCTAACCGAGACAAATACGACGCAAGACGAGAGTACTGAACAGTAATAAAAATAAACAGCAATTAAAGCTGAATGAAAACGACCGCTTTAGTCGCAAAAGAATCAGGCCACAAGAGAAACCCACAGAGTTAAAAAAAAAACACGTAATAGTTTCATTACAAGTACACACACAGGAGATAAACTGATAATAGTAATAATAAATGGCACCGCGAGTTACTCACAACGGGGAAAAGGCGCAAACACACATATGTACATGCAACGCACAGCCGCAACAGCCGGAGAAGCAAACAAAGAGCGCCACTTGCGCCAAAAAAAAGCAGTTGTTGTTGTATCAGCAAGAGAACACACTCATTCCATCGCTCTTCTTGTTTGTTTGCTTGATAGAAACAAAGAAACATATATATATATATATATATATATATATATATATATAATATATATATATATATATATATATATAGTAGAGAGAGAGAGAGAGAGAGAGAGAGAGGGAGTGAAATACGAAGTATTGATTTTACTTTGCACATCGCACTCGTTGTCTTCCATTTTTTTTTCTTTCTCCCCATTCAATAGCACACACACACACAGCGGAGAGTTTGTTCTACGGAATGCTCAACGCTTGAGTGCCAGCGGCAAACTCAGCCTGCGTCATGCTCGCATTGCCGCCGCCTCCATTAAGTGCGTACCCGTTCGATTGGTGGGGTGCGCCACTGGCATTTTCACTGTGGACATTCACAAGCGTCGACTTGTAGCCCACCCCGCCGGTATTCGCCCCATTCATGCTTGTCGGGTTCGTGCTGATGCTCGCATTTGCACTCGTACTCGTGTCGACGTCGCCGTTTGGGCTGCCGCTGCTGTTGCTGTCGGTGATGGCGGTGGACGGCCCCAGTCGGCCAGTATTTGCAGTTCGCGTCGTGGACTTGGCCGAGGGCGACACAGACGGCCGGTAGGGCGGTCCTCCGTTGCTGACAGAGCCGGCGTCATCGGCGGTGTACCCGCTGGGCCCCGCACCTCTGACGTTCGCCCCTGCGGCGGTTCCACGCGGTGGGGGTGCGGAGGGCTGGATGGGCAGGCCGGGCCGTGCGGTGGACGTGGCGACAGGTGGGTCAGCGAATCCCGCTGTCGCTGCTCCTGCTGCTGACACTACCGTGGAGCCTCCGCCGTCTGCCGTAACACGGTTGCCGACGCTGCGCCGCACCGCATAGCTGCTGCTACTGCCGACGCCCACGCCGCCATTTGCGTGCTCCTGCAGTGCTTCGTTGTCTGGAGCCGCACCCCCCGCCGCGGCGGCGACGGGGTTTCCGCGTGGGACGTCGTGATTTTCAGCGCCGATGCCACCGGTGTTGATGTTCGTGGACGAGAGACGCAGGCTGGACGACAAGGGCAGGTATGCGGTCGGCAGCTGCACCAGATGGGCGTAGTTGCTGAACTCCATTGGGGAGAGGAAGAAGTCAAAGCCCATGAGCTTCAAAAACTCCGATTCCAGGTCGTTCATGTCCTGCACCATGAGGCTAAACACACTCGAGAAGTTTTTGTTGTTCACGCTGCGCAGGTCCACCACCTTGCTCGCCACCCGCACGGAGGCCACGAGCAGCTTCTCAATGTTGCGGGAGGTGAGCAGCAGGCGCGGGTGCAGCAGGCAGAGGCGATCTAGGTAGATCACCGCCGAGAGGAGGGTGCTCGGGGAGATGTAGGTGTATTCGGCAAAGCGATTCAGCAGCGCCACGTAGGTGCCCGTGGCCCGCTCTGACTGGAAGAGCTGAAAGCCGTGCGGGCAGACCTCGTAGGGCAGGCCGCGCATCCGCTCACGTGCGCTGTTGCCTCCAGTCGCGCTTGCCTGCTGCTGCTGCTGCTGCTGCGACTCGCGCATCAGCCGCTGCAGCAGCCGCTCGTTCTGCTGCGTCACGCACTCCATGGCGTCCGCAATGGAAGGCACGATCTGCACAAACTCGGGCTTGTACTTCTCCAGCAAGATGTCGATCTCCCCCATGTTTCGCGAGGTGGGCCGGATTGGGTGAAGGGGGCGCTCATTCGGGGTCAGCTGAAGCGGCACGCGCGTCTGACGCGCGGCGAGGGCTTCGTCGCGGTAGCGGTGATGCTCGCGGTTGACCGGGAAGCGCAGGGAGTCGCAGAAGTACGCGCGGCGGTCCAGCTCGTACGAGATGGGCGGGAAGCCGTACTGAATCGGCGTCGGCTCCGGTGTCCCGTACTGCAGCGCCAGCGCCTCCATGAACACATCCGGCTCGTAGTCCAATATGTCGTTTTCCTGGTTCGCGAAGTTCTCCCGTATCCACCGCCACAGCTCATCCCCAAGCGGCTGCACGTTCGTGTAGGAGAGGAATCGATTGCGGGGGGAGATGGCGCTGAGGTCGGGGCCGAGCTCCGCGCAGAGGCTGCGGATGAGCTCCATCTCACGCCCGGCGTGCTCCTCGGCGAGCTGCTCAGCCTCCGTGCGCACCCAGGCGCTGCTCTGCGGTGTAGGCGGATACATGGTACAAATACGGCGTATGCGGCGAAGGTAGTAGTCGGGGCACACCTCGAGCAACAGAGAGCGGTAGATGTCCCCTTCGCTGGCACCGCCCTGCAGACGCTTCACGAAGGCGCTGCACCGCTGCGGCCGCTTCTCGCGCATCTTGCTGGGCTGCTCCTCACTGGCGTGAGCGTGGAGGCGGGAGAGACGCTCGTAGTCGTCGCACAGCCGGTCCGCCGCATCTGTAATCGCGCTCGGCGTACAGGCGCAGACTTTGCGAAGGTCCTCCGACGCGTACGGCAGCTCCATCGTGCACGAGAGATGGCCCACCGTCAGCCCTACAAAACGGTTCACCAGCTTATGGCGCGTGACTTCGCCGTCTGCGGCGGCAAAGGTGCTGATGCTGCCCTGGACGGATCGATCAGACCACGACGGCGTGATCCAGCGCACGGCGGACGAGTCGTGGCGCCGCTGGCGGACACCGACCATCACCTCAATGATGACCTTCAGGTCGGAGCGGGTTGGGTAGCGGAGAGTGATTTCGTTCGACATCACCGCCCCTGCCGGGGCCGCCGCATCCGCCGCGGCTGAATTCGTTGCGGCTGGCTTCAGCTTGGTCGTCGTGGGGCTCTGCAGGTTCACATCGTGGTCATCGACGGCGTAGTTGCCAAATGCGGTGCGGGACTTCGCAGCGATGCCGCCACCGCCTGCGCTGGAGCGCACGTCCCCTTCAGCCGGGAGGTTCATCTTGTCCGTGCTGCACGCCACGGTGGGTCCGGTCGTATTGAAGAGGCCGTGCGGGACGTGCAGCTCCGTGGAGTTGGGCGGCACGCTGTTCGCAAACGACGACGTCCGGTGCGGAGTGACGGCGCGTGCGGTGGACAGCCCGCACTGCGGAGGTGCGGTGCAGAAGTCCAGCACAAAGCGATCGCCTTTGAAGATGACGGAGGAAGGAGAGAAGGCCACGTACTGCTCCGGCAAGTCCAGCTTGCAGAAGCGCTTGTTCTCGGAGTAGTACTTTGCAGTGGGCTTGAGAACCAGCTCAACGTTTTCGCGTCGAGAGTCCAGCGAGACGAGGTCGCGCGGGATGTCGAAGAGAGTGTGCAGCCTCAGCACCATGCTCTTGCACTCCAGCTTGTTCTCGGAGATGGGAGACGACATGTTGATTTCACTTCCTTCCTTCCTTCCTTCCCTTTTTTTTTTGAGAACGACCTGACGCGTGCGGTACTCCGAGTCGCTTCAGGTGGGAGAGAGAGAGAGATGGCCGCAACAGAGAGCCCCCCTTCAAAGGGAAAACGGTTGTGATCCACTTAGAGAAATATATATAAACTGGTTGCCACCGCTGTCTGCTCCACGCTGCACCGCACAACTCCACGCGGATCACGACTGTGAATGTCTGGCACTCGCCAAACGCCAACAAAACAAGAATAAAATGACTTCGACAGCACAAGCAATATGTAGAAGAAAACAAACAAAAGTGGGAAACCACCAAAAGGCGTTCTCTTTGACGTGGATGGGATGTGAGGTGCGCTTGTCGAAGCAGGGGAAGGCAGTTAAGTGTAAAGCGATGAGCGCGAGGGGATGGGCTGAGGGGGGTTTGGGGTTGGGTTGGGTTTGGGGGGGGGGGAGGGGGAGGAAGGCGAGAAAGGCACTTCCCAAAGAAAAGAACCACAACCACAGTAATAATAAAAACCCTTTTTCTCCCACGGAGAAGAACGCCCTTTCGGCGAGGGTGTGTGGGAGGGAGGGGGGGGGGGTAAGCCGGCGGTCTCCGAATGGAGATGGAAACAGCAAAAATAGAAGAGGAAGAGGGGCACAAGAGAAACGATGAAAACTCAAACAACTCGACGGAACAGAAAGAAGAAGATATATCGACCCACAACGGCAACGAATGAAGCGGCGGAGGAGAGAAATACGCACCCTTCGCTGTTTCGAAAACTCGCACTCAACGTCAGAAAAAAGAAAAGGGAAAAGCAAACGAGCTAAAAGAAGAAGAGGATCCAAAACGATGAGAAGGAAAGGAAAAGGAAAACCGAATGTTGAGACTCGCGAAAGATCCGAATGGCTTCCCAGGTCAAAATGAGACAAAAGATGTACAAAGACAAAACTACGTGGGGAAAAGAAGGAGGAAAAAGGATGAAAACGAATTCAAAAAAAGAAAAAAAGGGAAATGTAAAGAGAATGAAAGGAGGGTGGAAACAAAACAAGCACGAGAAGAGGAAAAGCCAAAGCTGACGAAGATGTTTTTTTTTCTTCTTCTCCCCTCCTTTGGAGTGTGATGTCTCTATCTCTGTGGCTTCTTGAAATATCTTTCTGGTTTTTTCTTCTGTTGCACCTCTCCTCCCTTTATTACTTTACAAACCCACGATGCCGAAGCGTTGAGCAACTGCCCCAGGACGCTTGTTTTTCTAAATGCTCTTTTGATCCACTCCAACACGGTAAACGGTGTGTGCTTTGTATTGTGTGCTTGTCTTCGCCAACAATACAAATGGTAGGGAGAGAAGAAGAGCGGCAGACACACGGTATGCGTATTCTTATATATATATATTATAATTCCACGTTGCGTAGCAGGCCCCTTGACACCTACGTCCAACGAGGCAGCCAAGAGCGCAGAGGTGAAAACGTCGTGAGGTGCTCTGAAGAGCGAGGTGGGATGTGAAGGGGAGAGGTACTAAAAAGGAAAAAAAACCTCAAACAGAGAAGTTGCGTAGAGCGCGCGCGCGCGAGAGAGAAGGGAACGACGTTGTTTTACGGGTACAAACCGAGCATGAAAATAGAGAGAAAAAACAATCAAACAATGTTCGAAAAAAAATTATAAATATAAATATATATATATATATATATAAGAAAGTATACGTACATACATAGGTGCACTATTCCCCACGTCACAACAACTTACGTTTCGTGTGTGTATGCGTGTGTGTGTATGTGTGGAATTCGGTGGTAGCTGCGGAGGCAAAAGCGTGCAACAGTAGTGTGAGAAGGGTTGTTCGTCCACGCCGTTGTCGAGGCGAATGTTGGCCGTCGTTGGTGCGTCGACGAGGCAAAGACAGCAACGATGAATTCGATTCACGCGTAGGGGAAGGTGAGGTGAGGTGATGCCACGTTCCCACACACACGGGACAGCATCACGATACGCACCGTCACTCACGAGGGGCGGGGAAAGCGATTCGAGACAAACGCAGATGTGAAGGGAGGGGCGAGAGGAAAGAAATAGAAGAAGATGAGAAAATGAATTGAGTGCCTTTTCTCTTCTCTCCACGGAAAACACTGCGTGAACAACTGGGGTGTCTTTCGTTAACGGCATCATTATCTGCTTCTCATTGCACGCCAGTGCGACGTCAGAAAAGCGCCGTCAAGGAAAATACAATTGAGACGTCACTTGTAGACCAGCATCAGCAGCCGCCAAAAATAGTGTGAGAGAAAGAGAGAACAGGGGCATCGAGTTGCAACGCCGAAGCCAGCCCGCTGCATCCCCCTTCCCCTCCCTTCCCTTCCCACACACCTCCGGGTGAAGTCGCATAAGTGCGCGCGTACGTGCAGTTACAGCGATGAAATATTTTCTTATCCCTCTGTCGAAGGTAAAGTCGCAAAAAAGCAAGAAAAAAACAGAATGAAGTGGGAGACAAAAAGAAAAAGAGAAAATATACCAACCGAGCAGCAAAAAAGCGGACAAACACAACGAAAAGTGCCGGTACAAAGATTAATGCCCACGAAAGCGTTCGACAGAAATTGTAAAATAAAAAGAACGCAAGACGGACAATTACGGACACCATCGAAATGCGCACCTGCAATGAAAATGGAATGAGGGGAAAACAAAGAAACAGAAACAAAAACAAAAAAAACACAGACAGACAGATCACCGGCGGCGATCAACAGCAATAGTTGCGTTTGTACTTCAACAACACTAAAAAAAACCACCTGAGTAATCACCGAGGGTCAAATCTAAAAGAAAGAAATAGGAAAAGAGCCGTACACGAAAAATTGTAACAGCACACATTCGCCTCCACAGGCGCACGCATTATGGCTTGCTCTCCTTTGTTTTACTCTCTAAACCGTAAAAGGCAGGCGAATTCGATATCAGTTTTCTTTTTTTACTTTTCGTCCTTCCATCATCTACAACAGGAAGAGTATCAAGGAAGAAGAAGAAAAAAATGATTCCGACACGCATTCAGTCGCACATACACACAAACACAAGGGAAGAGAAAAAGAAGATGAAAGTGACAAGAAACAACAAAGGCCACAGCAAACATAACGACTATCCGGATGACGATACGCAGAGTAAAACAACATCGAGCGTTTCATGAAAGCTGTTCGAGTTAATAATAATAATAACACAAGCTGGTGGAAGGGGGAGAAAAAGAAGAAGAGAGAATCGCAGAAACGAGGGCAACGAAAGAAGGGAGAGAGAGAGAAAAAAAGAAACGCTTCGAATATCAACGTAGCAGACAAAGAAAAGCCAATATATATATAAAGAAGAAGAATCATCGTCGTAGACCCTCCACACTCCCGTCGTCATCATCAACAACAACAAGGATGCACCACGAAGCGTTACGGTTCCGTGACAAGTAATTACCGTTTACACGTCCCCACCTCCTCCTCCTTATCTTCACGCCTCGAGACAATCCCCAAGAAACTCCCCAGAACATATTTTTTTTTTTTGCACTGTGATTTCCCCCAAAGAGAGACGAATAGTAGACGAAAGTTCGTTGAGGAAGAAACCAAACAACAACAACAAAAAACATAGAAAGCGTGTCGACAGCAACTTGATGAAGCGAACATCTAAGAAGTAAAGGGTGAATGAAACTGCCAGAGGAGAGAGAGAGAGCGAGGGAGAGACTCTGCGTGTGCCCTGCTTTGAGAGCCGTGAACGTACACGGCGGCAAAACAAAACACAAGCAAAAACAACGGGGGATGGCCGCACGCTCGCTCGACACGCGCACAGCACCAACCACGCAAAAGCGAAGAAGAGAGTTTTAATCGTGATGACACAAAGGGATTAAGTAAAGTAAAGTAAAAATCGAAGGGCACAAAAAATGAGGCGTCAGGACCGCGGCCGAGTACAGAAAGAGCCGTAAACCTACAAGAAAAGAAAAAAAGGAAGAAAACGAGGGATTACGCTGAGCACGAAGTGAAGTGAAGTGAAGTGAAATGAAATGAAAGAAAAAGGGTTCTCTGAAGAATCTTCTCGGACCGGAAAAGAAAAAGGTGGAAGCAGAGGAGAAACGAGAGAAAACGAAAAAAAAAAAACATAGAATCTGTTCAAACAAGGATCGGCAGCCGATTGTACGGACGCTGCCTACGCTCTCGTTGAAGAGACGTATGTGTCCGCCGGCGCGGGTAAGGGTGCGAGCGTTATGCATTCCCTGCGCTTAACCGCAGCAGCCATAAAAGAAACAAGAAGAGAAAAGGAAAGAATTATCGTTCTACAGAAATTCTTTTCCTCATCAAACCTTCCTCCGTTGTGCACATCTACATATATCGCGCTTCCACGACGAAGAATACTCCTGTCAGAAGCATTCTGCTTACACATATGTCGCTGAAAGGAAAAAAAAATGTAAAGAAACAAAAAAGAGTACTCTTCGAAAAGCGTTCATATCGTGTTGAAAATACCGCCTTTTGTTCCTGAACGATTCCGCAGCAGGAAAGAAAGAGCGTGCGAACGAGCAAAGAACCACATAAAAGGGACACATCATCTGTGCTACACACGTTTAAATAGAGAACTTCGGAAGTAGAAATGAGAGAGAGAGAATGAAGAAAAAGAAAATGACAGCAGCCAATTTTCCGTGCATTGCATGCGAGAATAAAAACAGCTGCGTTAAAAAGAAAACGCATGAAGGTAACCAGGGGAGAGAGAGAGAAGAAACGCACTCCAACCGCGTCGTTCGAGAATTACTTTTGTTGTTCACACGAAATACATTCATATGCATATATATATATATATATATATATATATATATAGTATATATATATATATATATATATATATATATATATATATATATATATATATATATATATATATATATATATATATATATATATATATATATATATATATATATATATATATATATATATATATATATATATATATATATATATATATATATATATATATATATATATATATATATATATATATATATATATATATATATATATATATATATATATATATATATATATATATATATATATATATATATATATATATATATATATATATATATATATATATATATATATATATATATATATAATATATATATATATATATATATATATATATATATATATATATATATAAGGGATCAAACATGGGAGAGATCAAAGAAAAAATGAGTTAAACATGAAATACCTTTTCGCGTTTCACGCTATCGTAAAAGCTGCTCTCATTTTTAATGCTGACTTTTTTTGCGCAAAGAAGACAGAGAACGCATCGGTGGTGAGTTAGCGCACGTCGCATTAACAAAGAAGATGGAAGAGTGGAGCTCCACAGAAGAAAAGAAAAGAGGAGGACGCAAAACTGACGGATCACAGCATTCACCAGAAAAAAAAACCTGAGAGAAAGAGAAGGAACGCTAAAGCCAAATAACAACAATGAAAACCCACGAACAAACACACACACACACACTCAAAGAGAGAAGGGCTACACTCCCTTTAACGGCGGCACACGGGATTCACGTGTGCATCGTCGCCCTTCAGTTTGGCGCACATCTTTGTGATTAACCACTTTTCAGTACTTTCGTTCCCCCCCCCCGAATTCTTCGTGGGCGGCGAGCGCATTTCCACCCTTCATGTCGCGTAGCATGAATGCTTCCCTGGTGGGCCCACACTAGCATATATATATATATATATGTTTGTTGTTGTGTAGAAGGTCTGCGACTGACAATACGGCAGCGTGGTGCGACTTCCACGCCAAGCAGCGGCTCGCCGAAAGGCAATGGAAAAATACGACCCTTCGAAATGACTCTGAGACAACGAGAGAGGAGATAAAAGAAAATCAAATGAATGCACTTCTTCTTTTGCTGTTGTTAAAACTTCTTTTTCATGTGTTACTTCAAGAAAACTGCTCTGCAAGAAGAAAAGGGAGAAGAAAAAAGAAGAGTCACCCACGTACCATACACAAATTGATACGTCTGTTCTTCATAGCACGAGAAAGTAAGAAGAGGAAGAGGAAGAAGAGAGAAAAAAGGCGGATGCCGAAGGAATCGGTTTCTTGCTCAAAAGAATTCAGAAACAAGAATGTATGGTTACAGGGTGTCAGATGTCGAGCGAGAGAGAAAGAGAGAACACACGTGAAGGTCCACAAGTAGGTAGAACGACAAAAAGAAGCCGCGTCTCGTATATGAGAAACACCTGCTGATGCAGCACCACGTATTCGTCTAGTTAACAGAATCGTCTCCTCCGCCTCCTCTTTGCGGTCTCCATCTCTTCCAATCGACGTGAGGAATAACAATAATAACATTAATGGTAGTAAAGAAAGCAACGCACTAACGATAAGCTAACTGAAGTTATGAGAGAAAGAGTGAAGCAAGTCAATGAATGTGGAAATAATGATATTAACACACGGATTAAAAAAGAAAGAAAAGGGGGGAAGGGAGAGACACGTTTAAAGCAACACACACACACACGCAAAGCACACAAAACACAACAACAACATTTTCTCCTACATACTACAAAAGAGAAGACTCGTGAACTAAAAAAAGGAAAAGAAGCCGTACGAAGCGAAGTCACTATCGTAAGCTACAAAGAAGAGGGAAGGAGAAAGAAAAAGACGTTGACGTAGAGAGAAGAAAAAAAAAGAGGAAGAAGACAAACACAAACGTACCACACATGCAAATGTTCGCCTTCTACAAAACCAAAAGAAGAAGGAAAAGAAATGCAGCGGTCACCGGTGCGTATGATAATATGTGTTTCTCTTACCCTTGCCTTTTTCACCATCAAGAGGGTTGCTGTCGAGACCGCCTTGAGAGATACAGCGGTCACCGTGCCGCACAAAGGCGTGCGGACCAGCGAGGCTATTGTTTCTTTATCTACTGCGTACACAAAGGAGAGCACGAAAAGAAACTCGGCAATTCCTTCGCACAAGAAGATGAACACCCGCGAACGCACGCACGCACCAGTGCGCATGGCGATAGGTATGTACATCAGCATTCGCACACGTACGCAAGCCGATATGAAACACTTTCAGAGGCCGTTCTTTCACGCTCACGTTTTCACGGAAAAATCTCACGCTGACATCCCACAAGCAATAGCAGTAGTAAAATAAATAAATAAATAGAAGGGAAAGGCGTCGTAATCGCACCTTCGCGCGGCGAATACGTGAGAGTGCGCTTCTGTTGTGATACTGCGATTCCGTTTTGCTGAAGCAGCGTAGAAGAAGAAAAAAAGAGCAGAAGTGTTCAGGACTTTTTTGTTGTTCTCTTTCTCTGTGGCCTCCTAACGCTGACGAGACTCAGGCGGCGGCAGCACGTTCGGCATCGTCACGCCGGAGTTGCCAGCGATACTACCGGACCGACCACGTCGACCGCTCTGCGGCATCGGCGGCAGTGCCAAGCCGTCCCCGCGTGCAGACGAGACGAAGGCCCGCCGCGTTGGAGTGCGCTCATCGCTGAGGATGTTGCTCGGTGTCGTGCTGCCATCCATGATGACCATCGTACCGTCCAGGCTGCGGCTCTTCGCTGCGGCGGCGCTCGTGGCGGACGTCAGCATGTTCGGTGAGACACAGTGCGCCGTGGCGATCACCGACGTGCTCAGACACACCCCACCGGTGGTGGTCGCCAGCGTGCGGGCAGTGCGGGTGGCGTCCCACGAGGAGGAGAACCCGCGCGGTGCGGACATCAGAATGCTCCGCGCACGCGCGTCTTCGCTGTCGTCGGCGGGGTCGAAGACCTGCTGCTGGTGAAGTGTGTTGACAAAGGCACCGCTGGCACTCTGCGCCAGACCGGCGGAGGAGACGGTGTCGTCGAAGTTGCCGGAGCTGCGCAGCGTGGCGGCGGAGTTGGCGTTGCGGAGGACAGGTACCGCCGTCGACGCGCTGCCGTTGGCGGTGGGGGGATGTACCTGCGGCAGCACGGGCGATCGCGAGGTTATACTCGTGCTATTGTTATTCGTATTGCCGTTGCTGTTCATCGGGTATCGCCGCGCAGAGGTGACGGCGGACTCGCAGCGCGACGGCGCCGCGGACGGCTGCCGCACCCCGGCAAAGGACTCGGCATCGACGGAGATGGACTGGCCCATGGAGGCGCTTGGAGGGAAGGCAGGGCGGGAGGCAGAGCGCAGCGGCGAGACACCACTCTGCGAGGCCGTTGAAAGGCTGTACTCGTTCTGCGACATGGTGCTGGAGCGGCGGCTGCGGGACGTAACGCTACCACAGCGGCTGTTGCGCGCCGCCGACGGTCGGGACGGCTGATGTGGATGGCCGACCGGGCGGCCGCCGTTCATCGGCAGCACCATCGTCGGCGACGGCCCATCCCAGGTCCTCTCCGCTTCGATGTGGGCGGCGTGTCGCCGCAGCGGATCGCAGTACACGTCGAAGGCGTGGTGCGAGATGTACAGGCGGTTCTGCAGCAGCTGCACAAACATAAACTCCAGGGCGTTGATGTTGTCGTTTGTGACGCCGCCGACGAAGGAGAAGTCACGGTTGTTGAGGGTGCGGGTGTCCATGATCTTGCTGCTCACCCGCGTTGACGTGATGAGGAACTTGAAGACGTTATTCGGGCAGAGGAGGAAGCTGGGGTACATGGTGAGCAGTCGGTCTAAGTAGAGGCAGCAGCACACTAACACCGAGGGAGACACGTAGGTGTACTTGACGATCCGCTTTAGGTAGTCGTGGACGGAGATAGCGGGCACCTCCGGCGTAGAAAAGGCGTTGATGGCTGTCTGCAACACCTTGTAACCCAGCGCGGTGTTGCGGTCGCCGGTGCTGTTCCCGCTGTCGGTGCTGCCTACGCGCGGGTGAACCTCCGCTGCGGCTCTGTCATCGTCATCGGAGTCGCCGGCAGGTTTGTGCAGGTGCGTGGGGCTCGAGGGCGGTGAGGAGGAGAGAGAGATGAAGGCGGGCAGGCCGGCGCTGTGGCGGAGTTTCTCGTGCGCGGCGATGGTGCACTCGATCGCGTAGGCCAGCATCGGCACGATGAAGCGGTACTCCTGGCCGTGCTTCTCCTGCAGCGTCTCCGATTCGTTCAGCACGCGGCCGGAGCGCTTGCTGTGTCGCAGCGGCACCTTGACAGACGGCGTCAAAGGGAAGAGAACGATGGGTTCCTCCATCGGGGTTGGGTAGGGTGGCAGGTGGAGTTGGGTGGTGGCCGCTGCGCCGTCGCCCGCGCGAGACGGCGACACCGCCCCGTTGGCAACCTGCCCGTTCGCGCTGCCGCGGCCGTTGGTGCAGTCCGGCGTATTCGCCGTCGGAGGTCGCTTGAAAAAGCTGCAGATGAGCGGCTTCATCATAGGCTCCTCACTTGGGGGGCGGTTGAGAGATGCGGCTTGCGTCTGGTCGTAGTCGGCGGCAGCGGAGCGCATCTTTGCGTTGATGTGAGGCGCCTCTGTGTCTCTCTTGATTCTCAACCCCTTTTCTACGGATTATTCCCTTGGGCTTCTTCTAATATACAGCTGGCTATTTGCAGCGATCGATCGATTTGGGGATGAGCGCACACGCATCCAAAAGATGCTCGAAGCACAAGTGTATCTACACACGTGTGGCACTCAAGCGGGGTAATTGTTTAGTAGCGGAAGTATTTGATTTAATATATATATATATTTCTTTTCCGACCTTACTTTTGGTGATGGCAACAGCTCTAAACAACTCTTCACCGTCACCTTCGTGGAGAGAAGCCGAACCGACACACGCACGCAGAAAGTATGCGATGTGGCAGAGTCAAGGACAGGCAGTTCCAGACAAAAGTCAGCAGTTGCCTCTTTCCTTTCCTTTCAACACTTCGAGTTGGTACGCGCCGGCAGAACCGAAGGGAGGAAAGAAGGAGACGTAAGTCCGTCGCTGCAGTTGTGTATCGTACACGTGATCAAAAACAATAGTAACAGAAAGAATGCATTAATGATGAAGCAACACAAATCCCCCCACACACAGAGATAATTAAATATATAGATAGATAGATATATAGATACAGATATATATATACACAGAAATCAGAAAGAAAAAGCAAGGAAGGAGAAAAGGGAAAAAGTAAACGGTTCAGAAAGCAGCTGGCTTCTTTTTTGTTTCGTCAAGACTTTTATGCGCTTCCCTTCGCACGTTCCTTGAGGTGACTCGTTTTCCCCTTTTCCCTGTAAGTGTCTGTACGAGTATGTGTACAACGAGCTGATTTGAAGAGAGTGCGGCAAGTAAAAGTAATAAATAATGTTCAACGCAGTCGCACACAATGCGCACACGCACACTCGCAGGGTCGTTTAAAAAAAGAAATACCACAACCAACACCTAAAACGATGGGGGGCACGAACCGTTGTCTGTGTGTCTGTGGGGAGGAGAAGTGCGACGTTGAGCAGGGGAAACTACCGCGTCATCCAAGAAAAAAAAGAAGTCGGCGGTCTTGGTCAGAGAGAAAGAAAGGACAAGAATCGTCGCGTAGGCGTACACTATTTAGCGCTTTAGTAGTGGGCTGGGAAAGGAAAAGAAAAGGGAGAGCTGGGGACGTTGTTGGCAAGGGGAGAACATACCGTGAAAGGATCAAGGCAGGCGGAGAAGCGCAGGGAGGGGGGGGGGGGGAGCTGGAGGACAAGCGTAGCAACTGCCTCTAGCTTGACAGAGTGCCGTTGGCGACATGCGTGAAGCACCAGCTTCATGGGCAGTGGTATTCAACAACTCGTGCAACTGTTTTGCAAAGGAGAAGCCTTCCTTCTTTCGCTATTTGGAGTGCAGCATCGGGAATGCCACCACGTAGGTATTTTTGGGACAGATATTCCGTTTTGCGGTTCAAGAGACCACGAAAGTCGTTCCTGGATTTGCCAACCACCGTCAAAAAAAAAACCGTGAAGGAAACATCAACAGCAACGTAGCACACCAGTCAGCTGCCAAACAACCGAATATAACAAGAAAGACACAACGAGAGCAACCCAACTGGCAACAATAATAGTGAAAGGCCGTTTCTCTCCTCGGTGAACAACGCGAAATCATCCGGTTGTTAAAAAAAAAGCTTAACTGCACCTCTGAAACTGCGGCACGATGAAGTCGCTGCAATGGTGATAACTGAACTCCTTTTATCCTTTCCTTAAAAAGAATACTTCGATGCGTTGTAACTGGCGTTGTCGCTGTTTTACCTCTCCTCCTTTGACCGGACGATAATGCGGTGGCAGCGCCGAATGCTGTTCACGATGCATCAGGGCTGCCCATCTCTGTAAGCAGCCACACCGCCGTCGACTGCCCCTCCACATACGCACCCGTCGCGATTGATCGGAGAGAGAAGCGCAACGACTTTTGCATCTGTGCTACGACAGCAGCACGCCACGGCGGCAAAGATGGCGACACCGCATCCTTTGTTCCTGCGTTCGCGACTAGCAGGGTGCGCAGCGAACAAAGGCAGTCGCGCACCACAGAAGAGTCGCTGCGCTCCGACACAAACAAAATGGCGCTGTGCTGAACCACGGCCAGCGCGAGTTGTTCCGCCATCTCAACAGGCAGGGCTGCGTCGTCTGCGGCGTGCGGTGAGCTGAGAAGAACGGCGACGTTCCGGAAGATCGAAGCGATGGCCGCCTTGCAGTGTGTGCGAGTTGCCGGAGATGTGTCATTTGTGAGCAGTCCTGCCATGGCTGGCAGGCGGGTGGCCAGCCACACAAACATGGACTGCGCCGTCGCATCAAAGGAGACGATGGCCACGTGCTGGTCATATACGCGCGCGATAATGCAAGCGGCAAGCCGCAAAGACACCATCCACTCTGCCGGCGAGGTGGGTAAGTGCTGCTGCAGCGGAGGCTTCTGCACGTCCCAGATGGCGCCGAGCCTGTGCAACAGCTCTCCCACCACAGCCCTCTTGTCAGGCGAGATGATCAGCAGGTAGCGCAAGGCGTCGACGGCCGGGAAGCGTGAGCCCGCAGGAAGGGCACAGTAGAGTTCCACAAGACTGCTGCACAGCGCAGCAGCCGCAGCCGGTGGCGTTGCGAGCTGCCGTATCGTGTTTTGAAAGGCAGAGTTGTTGGGAAGAAGAGAATTCACCTTCGTTTGGGCGGCAGTGGGGTTAAAGACGTCAAACGTCAGCGGCGTGGTCCACGGAGCGAGGAGCGCTCCGGTGGAAGCTGATGGGCCGGAGTTGGGACTGGCAGCGGGTGCAGAAGAGGCAACCGGGGGCGATGCAACGGGGGTGTGGCCTGGCGCGCCGCTGTTAATGCCCTCTAAACCCCGCACATGGGCCAAGTCTTCTGGCGAAACGTGCTGCATAAGGAAGTTTTGAATCTCTTCCTGTGAGTCCTCGGTGACGACGCCGCGATTGTCCTGAATAAAGCGCTTCGCCGTCTCCACCAGCCCATCTCCCACCCTGTACGGCAGCTTGAGCATCCGACCCTCGACGTCGACATCGAAAAGGTAATCGTACGTCTGCCCGTTGTAGAAGTGCTTCTCACGCTGCTGATTAGACGCCCCTGTGTAGTTCTGCGCATCCGGCCCAGCAACCACAACGCCGATCTTTTCCCATCGACCAGAGTTCCACACATACAGCTCCACCTCACCCTTTTCGTTGCGTGCAAAAAGGCGCTCGCCTTCCTCTCTTCCTCGACGCTTCTGGATCTCATGCGTGTACGGCATTGTGGAGACATCAAGACCTCCTGTAGCTGCGGCGGTCCCGCTGGACGTTGCGATTTTGACATCCACCCTTTGCGACGACACGGCGGCTTCCAATGCCTCGAGCTTCTCGATGGATGCCATGCGATCGTAATTCCGCGTCCAGACCCGCACAGCATGATCGGAGCCGCCCGTGACAATTCTTCCATCCGATGTTGCGGCCACGCTCCAAACAACACACGGGTGCTGAATGACTTGAACAGTAGCCAGTTGGTCTTTCCCAGGTGCCGATCTCCACACGCGCAACGTGTGATCTTCAGAGGATGAATACAGCTCCGACGTACGTAGAGACCAGCACACCGAGTAAACGAGGGAGTCGTGACCTTCGAGAACCTGATATGGGTTCTCTACGCCGATACTCCAGAGTCGAATGGTGCAGTCATTGCCTGAGGACGCGAAGCGCTGGCCATCAATTGCACAAATACACTGTACTACGTCCTTGTGACCCGAAAATACTTGAATGGTGCTGCCCGTAGTAGCATCCCAGGCGTGAATCGTCTTGTCACCAGAGCACGAGACAATCGTGGATGTGTTTGTCAACTGGGCAACTCCGCGAATCGCCGTTGCGTGCTTGTCGTACAGTTGTTTGGGTCTTCCACTCTTGTGGTCGAAAATGATGACCATGCCTCCCCAGTCACCTGACACAATGTCATTGACAAGTGAGTCTCGCACCTCTGCGCTGACATCGTCTGACGTAAAACTCATTATGACTCCGCAGCACGCGCCACTGCTGTGTCCGTCCAGCACAGCTTCCACTACAGCGGTCTGAGCGTTCCAAAGCACAAGATGGTGGTCATTAGACCCAGTGACAACGCACGGCTCATTGTCGAGCAGCTCCATACTCGTGTGAAAAAGAGCGAAATTGACAAACGCCGTGTGACCGATAAATGTCAAGTTGTCCTCCAAACCGTCGCCCGCTTCGGGGATCGTGATCCACTTTGAAGTGTTGTCTCGCGAGGCCGAGAAAACAGCGCTTGAGTCCTGCACAGGGCTACTGACAAAACGTACATCAGAGGTATGCGTCAATCCATCGGCCTGGAGGATAAATACCTCCTCTGCGTTTTCGACACTCATTGTGATCTAGGAGTTGCCGAAGAAGATTAGATTTTTGCTTAGTTGTTTGTCTTGCTCCGTCTGGCAAACGAGCAGTACGGATGCGCTAACACAGAGAACAGCAATACGGAGATATTATGAAAATAGCAGCTAATTATTGGCACAGGTGCGCTTTTGGCTGCGAAAGCAGACAACGGAGGGCAGTTTCTTTTTTAAAATCAAAATCACCACCAATAGGCATTCACACAAAGCCACAATAAAATAAAACGATAATAAAGAAGCGATATATCTTTTTTTTTTAGGAAACCGTAGATGTAGAGTATGGAGTGTGTGATGGCTCGTTTTTGACGTTGACATGAGTGGAGCTTCTCTCAGCAAAGTATTCATTCACTCTTCCATTCGGCATTACATACTAATAGGCCGAGTCACGTGCAAGAATCAAGTGAGCCTATATGAATCGCTGTCCTTGTTGTATTTTTTCCTCATCTATTATGAAACTTCGTTTTCCTCTCAGTTTTCATTTTATTTTTTGGCGAAGAAGGGCACGCTGAAAAAAAAAGGACACAGTTACATCGCCTCAAGGAAAAAAAGGATTCCTTTTTTTAAACCTCAGTGGATTTCTGCCTGGTAATTGTGATAACCAAGGACGCGCAGCAGTTCCAGTCCGTAACGAGCGGCGTTGTACGACGTCCACGCCAGTGAGCCGAATGAATCGGTCCAAGCGTGCGGAAAGACGGACACCGGTGCCAACAGCTTGTCGGAGGGTGCACTGGAAACCGCAGCGACATATGCAGAGACCCATTCGAGTTCATTTTCCAGATTCCACGAAGAGAAGAGGCCCACGCGAGAGGTCTTTTTGAACGCCCAGCGGACCAGTTCCAGCCTGAGACACCACATAGCTTCGTGGCCCTTCTCGCAGTGTCGCCTAATTTCTTCTTGAGTGCAGCGCATGAGATACGTCCACAGACGTGGTGCACAAGGGCAGGCCCGAGTGAATTTACCGTTTTCCTCTGCAGACTGTCTCAGACCCTGCGAAGGTTCAGGCTGGGGTTGAGTTATGCCTTGTGAGTTCTTGAGGGTCAGCATTTGATCCCTGACGTCTTCTTCGTGAAGCAAAAAAAGAAGGTAGGACGCTGCCGAACTGTCACCGTTGTGCTCTCTGATGAAGTGAACAATTCTCTGACTTTCGTAGAGCACAATCTTATCGACTGTTTCTAGCACGTTCGGTGACTCAGAAGCAGAAGCACAAAGCAGTTTATGTACACAACGGCGATAATGCCACGCATTGTAGTTCATAGGGTGATTGTGAGCGGCGGTGAAAAAGCACACATCATCTTGCAGTTGCCACCGAAGCAGCAGCGACTCTGATGAATTGCCTCCCTTCACGCTTGTAAGGAGGTGACGAGAGAACATCTGCTTGACTATCCACAGCCGGAACTCCCACAAAGACTTGAGCTTTGGACAGACGCTCAGCAGGAGGTCGAGTAGAACAACCGCGTTCACCAACAGCCGCATTTTCTCAGCAGAAGGGATAGCTGCGTCCGGAGCGCAAAGGCTGTCTAACAGCCAGCGGCGGCGATGACTAATGAAGCACTCAAGTTGTGGGTTGCAAAGCCACAATATAGCAGTGAAAGGGGTCGGTTTGTCGGCCAACATTGATCGTGTGACATGCGGCGAGCTTTGCAGACTATCTGTCAAGCTACGGCAAGGCATTTTACCAAGTTGCATTGAATCCTCGGAACGTTCTTGTTGTGCTAGAAACGCGCCGGCACAGTATGTCCTTACGGTATTCAACAGGCTGCGATCGACTAAAACCGGATAATCGAAGGAGCTGGAGCCGCTTTGTGACAAATTGGAGTCATCTACTAAACAAGTGATCAACGGGGAATGCGGCTGTTGTAGTTGCTGTTGCCCAAAGCCAAGAACGAGTTTCGCTAAAGGGGTGTTGTGGCTCGACAGAGTCCGCATGTATAAAGAAGCTCCTTGCAGTAGAATACTGTCTAGTTCACCTGCAGCCTTTGTAACGAGAAGTTCCAAGACATCTGTCATCTTCGCGTTAATTTTGCCGATAACGATATGATGCGCTGCTCTCTACCAGTTGAGAATTTAAAACTTACGGATCGAAAAGATAAAGTGTATCAAACAATAGGATGTTGTAGAGCGTTAAAAAAAACCTTCTTTCAGAGGCTGAAAGAAAACACAGCAACAACCTCCTAAAGTTACAAAGGAAGAGTGATATTTTAGAATCACAGGTGGAAATTGTTCCTCGTTGATAGCTTTAATTCCGGAGAGAAATATCCCCCCAAAATAAACCTTTTTTTGTCTTCTTTATTGTAATAGAGTTGGAGAACATCGAAGTTCGGTCAGCAAAGAAAAAACAAGAAAAAAAGAACTCAAGCTAAATATCAAAAGAGTAATTAAGATGTGAGTAATACTCAAAGAGGCCTTTTGCTGATTGTTACATTTAGCACTAGAATATAAACGGCTGTTCATGGGGTGAAAGGGAAGCAAGAACTTCAGATTCGTATAAAAACTTGAAAGCCAACGATTACAGAAGACGGGTTTACTTGAGTAAGGTATCTTTTGCTTCGTTCAGCTTAGTGGCAATGTAAGGGGTGCCGCTGACATCGCTATGAAAGTCCTTCATCATGGTCCTGTAGCGTTTCTTCACCTCCTCGGGAGAAGGCCGGCGAAATACAGCCTCGGCTTGGTTCTCTTTGAACCCAAGCAGCATGTACGCCTCTCGCTCCGACATGGCGGGCTGGAATCCGTATTCGTATTGGTGATAGGGGCGAACGTGGCGAATCACGTGGGCGGTTTTCGCCGCGGAAGCCCGCTGCGCTACTCTCGGGGCGATTCGTCCGACGTAGAACAGGCCGCAGCCGACCAAAATACCAGCGGCGAGCGGTGCCGCCATTGCGCCGGTCGCGTTTCCTGTGAATGAATGGTTTTTAGGAGCACTAGATGTGTTGTGGGCTGGTAAAGGGGGGGGGGAAACGGGAAAGACAAAATAGAGAGAGGGAGGGATGGTGGTTGAGAATGCGGGGAAAGCGGGCAGGGGGGCCGTGCTTCTTTTGGCGCGATTTTGGTTTGTTGCGCCGCTGAAAACACGGGGTCGCTTTTGAAAGCGTGGCGGCGCCGTTTTGTCTCTGTGCGTGCCGCCCTTTTTTCCCCAGCGCGGGCCTGGGCGTGGGCCGGGCGGGCGGGGCAGGGCGAGGCGGCGCTGGCCGGCGGGGAGGAAGCGGGGGGGATGCGGGGAGAGGGTGGGGGGCCGACGAAGAATTGCAGAGAGGCCGGGCCGGGACCGCAACAGCGGCGCGGCGAAAGCGCGCGGTTTATAACGCGGGGCGCCTTTTCGCGGAGGAGCTCGCTCTTTCCGCGGCCTCCTCCGAAGCGTGTTCCTTCATCGATAAACGTGTGTTTCATGACGGTTCAACAGAGAGACGTTGTTCACGGAAAACAATTAAAAGAACCTAACCGGCAGTTGTCTGCGGTGTGATGCCAAGCGAAAGGCGCGCGCCCACGCCGACGTTGAGCAGGGCCGGTGTCAGCTGGCGCCGTTGCTGGGGCGCAGCAGCTTCTGCGATGGGCGACTTCGCGACCGCAAGCTGCTCTTCGCGTAGGCGCGGCCGTCTTCAAACGCCAGGCGAAGCTGCTCCTCCACCTCGCCCTTCAGCTTGCTCATGATGCACTGCCGGTCCTTCACCACCTCGTCGTAGGCCTGCTGCAGCTGCGCAACGTGGTCCTGTGCCATGCGCTCGCTACGGCGCATCTCGTTCTCGTAGAGAGAGTGCAGCCGCTCCTTTTCGAGCTCCACCAGGCGGTTGCGGTCCTGCAGCAGTTGAACGCGTGCGCGCAGCTCCGTCACCTCCACCTGCTGGTGCCGCAACAGGAGCAAGTCGTTGTCCGTGGGCGGCGGAGGCGCCTCCACCACAACGCCGGCCTGCACCAACGAAAGCCGCTCATCCTCCTCCAGTTCTGGCGCCCCCGGGGCATCGCCGTCACCTCCGGCTGCTGCTGGTGCTGCCGGGGCCGCTAACACACCGTCTTGTCGCAGAGCGGCGCTGTCCGTGATCCACGTGAGGCCAGCGTCGAAGGCGATGAGAACCGGGTCCCAGAAAACGTCCAGCAGCAGCTCCTGGCGCGCCAGCCGCTCGTCCTCCTCCAGCTGCGCCAGTGGAGAGGAGGAAGAGGTGCTCGTCTTCGCTTGCCCAACGACGCGCACGTTGTGCATCCACGTCCCGTCCTGCGCCAGTTCCTGCAACCCCGCCACGCGTTGGTTGAGCAGCAGCTCCTCGTGCCGCAGGCGCTCCACCTCCAGCGTCGCCGCCGTCAACTGCGTCTCGGCGTGCTGCTTCTGCTGCTCCAGCATCGTGGCACGCGTGCGTAGCTGCGCCGCCTCCTCCGTCAGACGCGAGGCCAGCGTGCGGTGCTCCTGCAAGGCTGCGGTGGCCGTCTGCAGCTGGGCGAGTTCCGCCTCGCGGAGGAGGCCCAGCTGCGCCAGCGCGTCGTCGAGGCGGTAAATCTGCGTTTGTGCGATGACGGGGTCGAAGACGGCGAGGCCGGCCTGCAGTGCCGCTTGCACCTCCGCCTCCTCGTGGGCGGCGAGCACCGCGGCGGTGGTGGCACCGTTCGTCACGGCAGCGCGCACTGCAGCAGCAGCAGCAGAAGTCGAGGCGGATGTGGCAGCGGGCGCGTTGTCCTCAGCGCTTTTCTCGTCGCCGCTGCCGCACAGACCACGCAGAACACACACGGTGCGAGTGAGGTCCTCGACCTGCAGCTGCGCGCGTTGCAGCTGGGTGCTGAGGTAGGTGATGTGGTACAGCAGGCGCCGGCGATCGGCGTAGGCGGCGGCGGTGATGTGCACCGGTGCGTCCTCTTGCCCGTACTGCGCACTGGAAGACGCTTGTTGCGTTGATGTGGGCAACGAAGCGGAGAGGCGTGCGAGGCGGCTTCGTGATTCTTTGGCGCCTCCATCGCCGTCTTCCGCGTCGCTCAGCGCCTCCACGACGGCGCGTGTCGGACGTTGGGCCTCGCGTTGCCGCTGCGGTGGCGAAGGCGTGACGGTCGCCGCCGCGGCGTCTGCCGGCTCGTCCGTGGACGAGGACAGCGCAGAGACACCGGTGATGATGGGGCTGTGGTTAGGCGGTGAAGAGGCGGAGCGGCGACGCACACTGGACGGCGTGCGGGTGGGGGTTTCGGTCATCATGGTTACGTCGAGGGGAAAAAGACACAATAAACGGCAAAGCAGCAGCTCTGCTTACTTCTATGAGGAGTGTATATGCTCGGCGTTTTGCGCCAACGCGGGATACTTCTATAACGGCAGTGAAGCAACTGCAGGCTTCACACCTCTGCGTGGTGTCTCTTTGCACGCAGGGGGAAAAGGCGAAGCAAGAGGAAAAACGAAAGCAAAAATGGGCTGACCACAACAGTGTTCTGTGGATTTCATCAACGCACGTTGGTGCGGACGAGTTGCACGTTGCACTTTGGGCAGACGGCGAAGGATACTCTGGACGTCTGGCAGGTGGAGGTGGAAAGCGTTGAGAAACACACGGGGGAAACAAGTATGCGGTTTGATTGCAGTAAAGGTAGTAGCGGAGAAACAGAAAATATCTGCGGAGAAGAGCTGTGCGTTTATCCCGCTCATACGAGTGCGTCACTGCGTGTACATGTGCGCGTGTGTGTATGTGTGTGTGCGAGGTAGTCAGAAGGAGAGGGATGGGGATTAATAAACAGGCAAAAGCAACCAGCAGGGGAGATCATCAACGCATCAACTTGTGCAGGTGCGACCGCGAGGAGGGATGGTGCGCACTGGAGAGAGTCGGACGACCCAACGCAGTGAACCAAATAATAATACTGATAATCGAATTATTGACGCGCTTCAAAATGGCGAATCGGAAACGAGAAGCAAGGAATTCGCAGCTACAGCGACCGCCACTGTTTGTCCTCTGTGAACCCATCAATTCCTGTAATGCACCACGTGCAGCACCCTTCCCCACGCTTCTCCTCTTTCTGCGACGCTTTCAATGTTGCAGGTCATACGAGAAGCAACAAGCATAAATGATAAAAATACTACTAACTTCGATGATGACCGTTGTCACAAAGCAAGTTGAAAATCAAGTTCAATGTAGGCCGACGAAAGACGTGTCTTCGGGGTTTGGACATATGCAGCACACAGAGCGTGAGCAGACAGACAGACAGACACGCACGTACTCACACACTAACAGATACAAAACAAACAAAACGTACATAGTAGCAGTGGGGTACGATCAACGCACATCAAAGAAGGGGGGGGGGGAAGAAACAGCAGGCGCATCCAACCTCCGAATACTACATTGAAGTGCACAGGTGCTTCTTGTCGCGCGAGCCAGACAAGTCGTCGGAGCGGCGTGCAGAGAGCGTCGTGCCATCCCGCGCCTTAGCCACCTTCGCCGAGAGGAGCTCCATCATGTGCTGATTTGCCTCCTCCACGTCTTTGTAGCCGGGGAAATAGTTCACATCAATCACCACAGGTATGCTGTCGAGCAGCAGGGACGTCGGGGCGCCCGTGGCGAAGTCGAACATATCCCTCGCTTTACACGGCAGTGGCACGGACGGTACCGCCGTGCTCGAAGACACAGCCGACGCGGCAGCGCCAGCGGTGGTGTTCGTCGCCGCTGCCGGCGGTGCCGACGTCGCTGCTTCGTACTTCACCGTCGCCCCCTCCGTGTGGCCAATACCTCGCGAGGACTTGCGCTGGTAGGTGTGCGCGAGGTGCTGCGGCACGAGGAGGATGTCGAAGCCGTACATGGTGAGGCCAATCCCGCCAAAGCCGGACATCTCCTGCGCCAACTTGCTCACAGTGGCGTAGGCCGGAGTGCCGGGCGCGAGAAAGGCCTCCCACATTTCAGTTGGCGCCACCATCGACTCCCACGGCACCGCGGCGGGGCTCGAAGACGGCAGCAGCTCCTGCGGCGCCGTGACCGGCGACTCGGTCGACTCCCCGATGGCTGGTGTTCCGTAGTCCGCGCCGCTGGTGGCCTGCGAGAAGGTCAGCCGTGAGGTGGCCGCCGACAGACTCGTCACCGAAGAGAAGTACGTCTTGTCCTGCGAGTCCATCGTGACCGCGACGTCCATCAGCGTCGACGCGCGCGTGCGCTCCCACAGGTGGGCCAGCAAGTTCACCGTCGGCTTCACCCTGATGTAGATGTGGGGAGCGATGCAGTACACCTTCACGATAACGGGCAGCGCGTACACGTAGAGCTCTTGAAGAATGAACCGATTCGCCTCCTTTGGCAACGCCGCCTGGACCGCCGGTGGCACCCGCACGTCTTGCGCACGCGTGCACCACATCACTAGATGGTGGGTGAAGGCCGGCCCGGTGCCTTCGTCCGGCTTCGCGATCCACCACCGCCCCTGCATCGTGCCGTTGGCGCGGGCCTCCTTGATGTTTTCGTCCTCCGCCCCCATGAAGGAGTGGATGCCGATGGGTGTGACAACGTCATCGGTATTGCTCTTCGCGCCCCGATCGGCAGCGCCGTCGACGCCTTGGCGCGGCGCACAGGGGCGGTCCCACAGAAACGTGCGCGGAATCAGCGCGACGTACCGGCCATCCGCGCCCGTGTTGTCCAGCAACTTGTACAGCATGTTGCGTGTCATGAGCAGCTGGACCTTCTCCAGTGGGTCCAAGACGACCAGCGGCGCTTGCCGACGGTGCCGCCGCCGCTTTTGCGCGTGCTTGCACCACCGCTCCAGCGCACGGATGGCGGAGGGCGTGCCGAAGGTGGCGACTTTGTGAAGGACGACGTCGACCTCCTCCGCGACGCGGGTCGCCTCAGCCGCTGCTGCCTCGCTGGCCGACATCGCGACGTCTGTCCCTTCCTCTTCCTCCCCATGCATCGGCGGCGGCTGCGTGCCTTTTACGGCATCGTCGGTGCACACCACCATGCTGTGGTGCAGGGCGTCGTAGTTTAAGTTGACAAAGCGAAAGAAGTGGCTGCGCACCGGGCCGCGGGAGCCGCGGGGGGAGCAGCCGCCTGTGCACGGCGTGCTACGATCGCCTTCATCTGGCGTCGACCGACTGCCGCCGCGGCTCTTCGTTTTTGAGGACGCAACAGCCCCGGTGGTGGTGTTGGTGGCGGTCGCTCCTCCCCCCTCTGGCCGAATCAGACTTGCACTCGCACTCAACCCCCCGTTGAGGTCTGACCGAGCGGGACGTCCTACAGAGGCGAAGCGGTCTTGCTCCTCACGCAGACGCGCGTTGTGCAGCTCGCCGGCCACGCGCAGCGCGTCGAAGGACTGGTGATGCTTCTTCGCACTCGCACACAGCGCCACCGTAATGAAGGGCAACGACGACGGCGGCGGCGGCATCGCCGGTGAGGGCGACGCTGCACGATCCATCGCCTGTTGATGTTCACCTTCTTCTGTTTTTCGCTTTTAGTTATCGCCGAAAAGTAATTTTTTTGTTTTGACTGGGCCGCGAAACCACTTCTTCTCTCAAGCAACGCAGGCGAGGCGTATTCGCTGGGAAAAATGTGAGGTACGCTGCTGGAGTGCAGTGAAGGGGGAAATAGTCTAAAAAAGAGGGGCGAGTCCCGACAAGGAGTGGGCAAAGAGCTCTCCGCCAAGACAGCAGGAGACGTACTCCAAATACCCAACAATGGCGGTACGCGTGTACGTTGCGGGAATGGTCTGGTCGAAACCCGTACGTACGTACCGGCTCTTTGTACCTTTAGTTTTGCTGGTTTTGGTTGCTGGTGCACTTCAAGACAGTGGAAACGTACTTCGCCAAAAAAAAAAGGAGAAGAGAGAAGAGAGGAGGTGAAGAGCGGGCTTTGCGGACGTCAGCAACGTGTACGTGATAAACGCACCTCTCTGCGTTGCGCACACAAGATAATAATAAAAGAGAGCGCCGTATTGAGGATGGAGTGCCCATAAAGCGAAGCAAGCGTTCGAAGCTGCCCATACACTCAAAGGCGAGAAGCAACTCGTGGCGTCCTGCCGATTCTGTACAGATGCACGACAGCCGTGCCCTCCGCATTTTCATTTCTTCTTCTTAATTGTTTTCAGTGCATAACCTCTGCGATTGCACGTGGCGCACACGCGTGGTTTCGCCGCTTACTCTTTCCGTGCCCCACGGTACGCCGGGTGGTGGTAGTACACGTACCAGCACCACTTCAGCGAGGCCTCGGCGTGCCGCTGATACGCAATCGTCTCCTTTGCCACCTGCACATCCGGCGCCTCCTCTATCACGTTCCGCGACGGCCGCGAGACCCACGCTAAGCTGAACACCCCCAAACCGGCCAAGAAAGCCAGCACGAGTCGCGCGTTGGTGGCCCGCATAAGGAGGCGGTGTCGCTGCGCGAGTTGCTCCCGCTGATCCGCTGTCATCCGCCAGCGCCGCAGCGACATGACCTTGGTGAAGACAAGCGACTCCTGCGGCAGCGCACCGTTGTACAGCTGTGCCGTCTTCCACGTCATGAGATAGATGCCGGTGAGGAAGAGACACGGGTTGACCAGCAGCTCCAGTCCGTGCAGGCCGCGGCTGCCGAGGTGCCCGGAAAAGCTGCTGTCCACGTCGTACTTGGCCTGCTGCTCTACTTTGGTAAGTTCGCGAATCACGTCTCGGAGCTCGGCGGGGGTCAGCGTGTGTGGCGGGGTGCGGAGCCGATCCACCAGGCCCCGCTTTGTCAGCTCGTACCCCGCCAGGGGAGAAGGCGGAAGCTGATCCCACGAAAGCGGCGGAGAGGTCGTCCCGCTAGCAGATGTGGTTGCCGTGGACGAACAAGGAGAGACGATTTCTGCTTCTTCGCTGTTGTCTGGCGGTGCGGAGGGAGAGAAGGGCAGCCATGCGTTCGTTCGCCGTGTCCACCCTCGCCACCCGCCGGAAGGTGACTCGCTGGGAGTTCGTCCGTTGTGCGTGCCATTGGGAACTACTTCACGCGGTGCGAACTCGGACGTGGAGGAAGTCAAGCTGTGGTTGCCGGGTTCGAAGATGGACGCGATGACGTCTTGTGCGTCCTGCATGTGCGCCTCGCCTGCCGGGTCCACGTGCGGTGCTCGCGGTGATGACGACCACCAACCCATTGAGTTTGCGTGTCGTCGTGTGTGTTTTTCTCTTTCCTTTTCGGACGGCCACAACGCACATGGAGTCACAAGCGAAGACGAGGAGGAGAAGCGACGAGGGGGAAGTCGACGGCTGCGGTCGGGGGGGGGGGGGGGCTTCGACCCGCCACTGCTTTCTACGCAGGCACGCGGGAGACGCAACACTGCGGAAACTCGCGGGTGTGGGTTTACCACCTTTCTTCGTTAACGTACTATTATAATTATAATAACTGTATCTTTCCCGGCAAAGCAAGGGCGGCGTACAGGTGCGCAGGCATTGCCGCACGTTTCTCGTAGAGCACGGCACTGTTTTTCTTTTCTTTTTTTACATTCACGAACGCTCTGCCGTGTTGTGGAGGGTGCGAAAGAAATCTGGTTTACATCGTCGTTGCGCAACCGCCGCAGCAATGCGCTTCTTCCACTGCACGCGACGTCAGCGGTGGGGGAAAACAGAAAAATCCAGAAAAACGGAAGGAAAAAGAGGCTACGTAGACCAACGCAACAGCCTCTGCGCCTCCGGCTGTCCGTAAAACTCCAAGGCTCGCAGTCGGTACCACTGCGCATACACGCGCAACAGATCCACCCAATAGGCCTCCTGACTGTGCGAGCACGCCAGCCACGACATCATGCTCCACCGTTCCTTGCTTTCGCCTTTCGTGTCGTTCTTCTTGTGCTGGTCGAACAGCGGCACGTAGGCGCAGCCACCTTGCGCGCGGCTCCGCTGGCGTATCATCATGTCGAGGAAAAACATGCGCAGTTGCCGCGGGAGCGCTTGACGGACGGGCTCCAGCGCTCCCCAGCGGTACAGCAGTTCACTACGCCCGCTTTCCGTGTCTCTCAAAGCATCTTGAACGGATCTAAGAGCACGATAACAGCACGTGGTGCAAGGCTCAGGACAGTCTCCCGAGGTTGGTGGGACCAAACCTGGGTGAGAGGTAACCGCAGCGTTGTTTTCCAGCAATGCGGTGCAGTGACAGCTGTGAAAGGCTTGCATGACCGCCGGGATCTCCAACGAGGTCGGGCACGACGCCTTCACCGCGCTCGCGACGACGGAGGACGTGCCTGCGTACGTCTGCCTCCACCCCTCCTCCGCCTCGTGGTCGTCCTGCACGTGATAAAAGGACGTCGCCATGATAGGTGGGAGCAGCCGACTCTCCCGCCCGTCCCTGCTGCGCTTTGCTGGATCGTCGTCCTCCTTGCGCTTTCCAGGCAGCGACACATCTTCTTGAACTTGTCCGCGCAGACGTCGCACCGTCGATGCTAACCGCTTCATTTCCTCCGTACCTACGACTAGGTGGCTGAGCACGTGCTGTGCGACATCCTCGATCTGCTGCTCCCACGCCACCATCGAGGGCAGATGCTGCGCCGAGAAGCGTGGCGTGACAAGGGCCGCCACAATGCGGTAATAGAGGCTGACCATTTCCGTGAAGAGCTCTTCCAACTGCGGCTTCTTTTCGATGGTGTTGTGTAGCTCACGCAGGCGAAGAAGATGGCGTTCCACCACCGCGCCACCAGCAGCCTGTGACGACATCAGCTCTGCTTCCAAGGTGGGACAGGCATCCAGAGTTCGCAGCAGCGCCGCAATGTTGCTCTGCGCTTCCAGTAAATTCACTTTCGCCAGCGTTGATGCTTGCGGGTTTGCCTCGGGTGCTCCTTGCTGCCGTTGCTTTTGCCGTTGAATACGTGCCACGTACCAGAGAGAGGCGTTGGAGTAGAAAAGGATCTCCAAGGCGTCCGCACCGAAGTCCGCGCAGGCCTGCAGCGCCGAGCGTGCGCCTTTCGCTGCAGCGTACAGGGCAGAGTCGGCGCACGCACCCGCTACAGGAGCCAACATGCACGAGGCGGCGAGAAACCGAGGTATGTGGCTGTTGATCGACTCGCGCATCTCATTCGCCGCGCATGTCCGCGCACGGTTCTCGGTCCCCGCCACCTCCGCTTCCTGCTCGGCTTGGTCGAGAGGAAGACGAAACAGCAGGTGCTCACCGACCGGCTGCACCCCACCCGGAGAGCCCGCTGCCTGCTGCGCTTTCGGTACCGTGAAGACTCCCAGCTGCTCCGCCCACCGTCGCTCGCCTGCCGCAACCTCGCGCCGCCGTTTGATCGCCGTCGCCTCTGCATTCCACGCCTGCAGCGAGTGTGCGGTAGAGGGGAAGAGGTTCGCGGCGTCCACGTGCACCTCCAGTGCGGGCAGCACGACGGCATCTGCGTCTGTCTCCCGCTCCTTCGCGCACCACCGCAGCAGCGCTCCGCGGCGCCGTCGCAGCGCAGCGAGGAGTTTTTCGGCCGAACGGGTGAAGACGGCGTCGTTGTCGCGGAGGTCCACCAACTCCAGCGCAGGGAGACGCCCCGCGAGGGGATGGCGGTCTCCCGCATCACCGCTGCAACTCTCCGTCTCCGCTGCTTCTGCCAGCGGCATCACCGGTGCCTCCTCGCATCCTTCGACGAGATAGGTCGTCAGCGCGTCGCAGAGCGCGTCGATGCTGCGAGGACCGGCCCCCACGCCGCGGGCATCCACCACGCGCAGCCAGCGCAGCATCGGCAGCACGCGGAAGAACGCCGCCGTGCCGGCATCGCCCAGGTACGTCTTGGACAGGGTTATGTGGGTGGGGTAGCGTAGGGTAGGCTGGAAGGAAATCAGGAGGAAGTCGGTGAGGGCAGGAGGGAGGGGGTTGATGTCGTCGCTGTCTTCGTTGCTGCTGTCCTTCGTCGTTTCGTGTGGCGCCGACGGCGCGAGTTGAAGGGCCGCCGCGGTCGCCTGTAGTGCGACGTCGATGCCGTGAAAGAGCTTCACCAACTCGGTGTGCGACACGCAGCCCTCCTCCTCGCACGCGTACTGGTACAGCGTGGAGGTGGACCGCGTGAACGGCGTGAGGCGCGGAAGCGTTAAGGCGCTCATGGTGACCACAACGGAGATGCGGGTGAGCCTCGAATTGCCTTTCTGTGGAGAGGTGCGAGAAGCACGAGAGGGTTTTCTGTGCGGCCAGGTTTGGCGGCCCGTTACCGGGAGAGCAATGCGATGAAAGGCGGAGAAGAGCAAAGAGAGAGCGTTGTGCTTCGACGCTTCAGGCATGCACAGGACATCGTGGGAGGCAGAGGTGATGGTGCGGTGCGTGGCGCTCCGCACGTCTCTCTTACGCTCTTTTCCCCCACGCACAACATGCGGGGTTCATGTGCTGAGCTGTGCATGTTGAGAGGAGACAAGAACGGAAACACTGCTTTACGGATGATAACCTTTCTTTTTTACTGCGGTGCACGTTGACCCTTCATTGGCACACAAACAACCTCTCAGCGACACGACCCGCAAGCAACAGCAGCGAGCACGAGGACACCACATCACATGAGCTTTATCTCTCGCCGCACCCACTCCTTCTTACCCCGCTTCAGGAATGCGGTGCGCGGCGTAAGGCACCCGACACACGCCGGTCCAGTGCCTCGATCACCTGCAGCACCTCCGCCGCAAACACGGACGACTGATTGATGCCACCACTGCCACTGTGGTTGTTGTCGCTATCACCTTTGCTGCCGCCGTCGTAGGCATGGCCGTACGTGTGACTCCGCTGCCGTGAGGGAACGGCAGAAGGGGAGACGGGAAGTGGCGGCGGGGAGGGCGGGCCGTGCGGCTGGGACGGCGGCTGCGGCTGCGGCTGCTTCCGCACGTCTCCGTAAAGGGAGTAGAGCAACATGCGCTCTGTCGTCGTGGCTGCGGTGGGCAGCGGTGGACGCGCAGCGGGAGAGGAGGAGAATGAGGCTGACGGTGCTTCGGGTAATGAAGCCGGGTACGTGCGACTCACGGGCCGGCGAGAAGGCATCACCGGCTGGCTTTCCAGAGAGGCGTTGATCGCACCGTTCTCCGGCGTTGCTGCGTAGATGCTATGCCGCACGATAGGGGTTGGCGTGTCCACCAGCGACGCTGCAGAGGGAGGAAGGGGGAGAGGTGGCGCCTGTGAAGCTTTGTAATGCCGGGCCTCCGCGAAGGTTTCGCTGGGCACTTCAGCCGGCTCCAAAGTCTGCCCTGTGTCCGTGTCACCATCTGCTGCTGCTGCGCCACCTCTATCAAGCTGTTGAGATAATGGTGGATCGGGTAGAGAAGGAGGCGTGTCATCTTTCATGTCCGCCTGCTGTTGCCTGTGCTGACTGTGCCGCCCATCGCTGGCTCCCTCCCTGGAGTCATCTCTTCCACGAGGCGTCTGCCGCCGCTGCTGTTCTTCGTCCTCTTGCGGTCCGAGACGCACCCCTCTGAAGACTTCGGTGTCTGCGCCGCTTCTTTGCACACCCTCCTGCTTCATGCTGCGGGCTGCTTCCAACTGATCCAAGTCCTTCTGCAGTTCGGCGTGCTGCCCTAGCAGCCGCTCCACCGAGTGCTGAATGAGCGCCCAGTCCTCGCGGCACCGCAGCACGCTCGCCAGCGCAGCTCGCCGTTGCGCCTCCTCACTCGTGTGCCGCTGCAGCGCATCGTCGGCCTGCTGCGCCTTCTGCTGGAGTTGCAGCACCAACCCGCGAGATGCACCGGACTGTGTCTCCTGCTCGCGCAGTGCCCTCTGCGCCGCCTCCAGTTCCTTCTGTGTTTCTTCGTAGCGCGTTTGGAAGTGTTCGGCCGCCGCCACGGTGCGACGGTGTTCGTGCCGGACCGTGCCCAGCATCGCCGCCACGTGCTTCATCGCCAGCAGGATCGGGGAGAGGGCGGTGCGCAGGAAGACCTGCTCGGACAGCGCAGCACTCGACGGCGTAGTGGAGGGCGACGTTGCTCGCCGGCGCTCGATCATAAACTGCCGCGTCCAGGACGGAGATTTAAATTCTGGCGGGGTGGCCGAAGCGGCATCTTCGCCCGGCTGCTGCTGCTGCACGTCGTGCTGCTGCACCGATGCCGAAGGGCGGACAGACGTCGGCGTCGCCTCTGCAGGACCGTCCGACGCATCTCCCCACACGACCGCCTCTGCGTTATGCAGGAGCCGCTCGGCGTGTAGACGAGCCGTCTCGGAAGAAGAGGAAGGAGCGGCGGCGGTGTCGGTGGGAGTTGGTGTTGGTGGCGATCGGGAGGCGGAAAAGAGGACTACGTGAGGCGGGTTCACACCGCCTGCACCCGCCAGGGCATCTCCGGCGTCTTCTGCGGCGCCGGTGATGCGGAAGAGCTCCTTTGCGCTCTGCCGGCTGCCGTGAAAAGGCTCGTCGTTGTGCGCCACGCTTCGCTGGTAGTCGTACGCGACGTCGCTGAGAACACCCGCCAGTCGCTGAACGGCCTCGTGCAAGGCGGTGGTCAGTCGCTCACGCGCCGCCGCGTGCGCGCGCACGTCCACCCCTTCCGCGCTCAACTGTTCCTGAAGAAGGTGCAGCTGACTCTGCAACGCGGTCTGCTGCTGCGCGATAAACTCCTTCTCGTGACGCGCCTCCGCGGCTGCCTCTTGTAACCTCTTCACTTCCCCTTGTTGACCTTGCAGGGCGGCGCCCAGCTCAACCACCCGGTGCCACGCCTCCTGCACCTTCGCATCCAGCTCATCGCGCTCCGCCGTGAGGGAGAGGACTCTCAGCTTTTCATCCGCCGCCTCACGACGGTGCTCGTCTAGACGCGTCTGGCAAACCCGCAGACGATCCTGTGCGCCCTGCAGGTCCAGCGCGAGCGCCTGCTTCTCCGCCTCCAAGCCTTGGCACTTCTGCCGAAGGTCGCTGCGCGCCTCCTCGACCGCACGGGCCTGCTGACGTACCTGTGCGAGTTGACGGGAGATGTGGAAGAGCTCACTACGTAGATCGGCCACTACCTGCAACTCACTTGGAGGCGGCGCAGCTGACAAGCTGACCGAGAGGGACGCACCGTCTTGCACAGCGGTCGACGCGCGAGGAGCGCTGCGAGGGCTCCCTGTTGATGCATCCTCGACGATTGGAGAAGGAGGAGGATGAGGTGCACGGGATGTGTTGACCGTAAGTGGTGCAGTTGCTATGCGCTGACGCTGTGGTTGCTGCGCCGTAGATTCTACGTGGCGCAACGTCCTCGACTCCCCGGCGTTCTCGGGTGGTGTGCGTGATGGAGAGGAAGTCGTCCGGGACGGCGTCTGTGGCTGATCGTTGTGGGCTGGGCGAGCTGGCGTGTGCGTCGACTCCACCTCCGATACGTTGGAAGAGCTCCCGCTACTCATACCGATGCAACTTTTGAGCAGAGCGCGATGGGGTGCCTCTCCTCCAGCCCAACTGCTAAAAGGAAAAGAAAGCGGAATGCGTTGGTCAGTTCTATGCTGAGTGTTCTATGCGGGGAATACACACACACACACACACAAGGGTAGGAAACGATGGGTATGCTTTCACGTTAGGGAGACACCACATCCGTACTACACGTCCGCAGAGCACCGTGTCGGTACGGGACGAGGACAAATAATAATAATAGTAACTGTGTGATTTGTTCTTCCTGCGGTGGCGCGGGATTGAAGGAAGTCGAACATCGCTGGCCGGAGAAGATGCGAGAGAAGGTGAGAAGTTGGTGGCGAAGAACAGCAAGGGAAGTGACAGATGAGGGCCCCACCGAAGCTCTCCTCTTCCTCCCCTCCCCCCCCTCCTCCTCGTCTTGCCATGCGTCCTCCCTGAGCAAAGAAAGAGCAGCGCAACACAAACAGTTAGGATGGATGCGCTCAACGGCAACAACCCCCCCCCTTTCAAAAAATTCGTACCTTTACACTTGAAGAAGTTCACCTCTTTAAAAGAAATAACAAAAAATTGGGTCATTGCAACTTCACACGTGCCGACACGAGCGAGAAACGCTGGAACTTCTCCGCCTCACTGCTGGTGATCCCGCTCGTTCAGCATCGCGTGCACCTCGCCTAAGCGTTCGTTTGCCGTGTGCACCGCCGCCACGCCTCTGCGATGCACAATGGCGTCGAGCAGCGTCTGTTGCCACTTGTCGAGTGTGCGCGTCATCTCGGACACGCGACCTTCCAAAACTGCGACGCGGGCCATCAAGCGCTCACGTCGCTGACCCTGCATCCGCTCTCGCTGCTCCAAGTCCCGCGCCTGCCGCTCCACAAGCGCCGCAAGCTCCACGGTGGCCGCGTCCACTTCCGCCTGCGGCGCCGCGCAGAGCCAGCGACGATGACACACGGGAATTAAGTTCACAAGCTTCGTAAGCGACTCGCGACTCGCCGCGACATCGAGCTTCACTGTTCTTACTGCCTCTTCTTCCAGCGGCTCCTTCGCTTTCCCCACCGTCGGGTGCAGACGCAGAGTGCCACAGCGCGCGTAGAGAGCCGAGCGCAGCAGGGAGAGGAGGACGACGCTGAAGATGCGGTGCCGCTCGCAGACGCCCAACTTCGGCACTGACGCCTCCGGCACTAGGAGCAGCTCCTGCTCCCCCAGCGCCACACTGAAGCCGCGGGTGTCGTAGGGGAGGCGCAGCGCGATGGGTGGTGGCACGGCGTTGGCCGTGCTCAGCAGCGACAGTGCCCGCGACCCCTCCGCGGTGGTCCGTGCCGCCTCGCACGTCGGCTGCCAGCAGCTCCAGCCCTTTCGCTGACGGTCCCAGCACGGCAACGCCAGCAGGTACGACGCCTCTCCCGTCTCTCCGCATCGCAGGAGACAGAGGTTGCGCGACTGCGTCATGGAGACGGTGTGCGTGGTGGAGGGCACGGCAGGCGAGAGGCACTCCCGCACCGCACCGTCCCGGCCGTCGAGGTGCACCGTGAAGGATATATTTGGAGCGCCGGTGGACTGCACGAAGGCGGCGCGGTGCCGTGCCAGCAGGTCCGGCTCGCTGACCCACGCCCCCTTCACCACCCCGTTGGCTGTGCAGAAGAAGACGGCGTGGGTGCCGGCGTCGGCGTCGATACGGCAGCCGCGGATCGCCAATGCCTCATCCCAGCTCGCCGTCAGCTCGCCGCGGATCAAGTGATGCACTTCAATGCTGATGGCACGCTCCTCTTCCCCCTTCAGCGCCGCCAGTCGGCTTCGCTCTTCCTCGAGCGTCCGCACACGTCCGTCGTCGACGGCGGCCGCAGTGGCCAGTGCCGGCAGCGCGTCCTCTTCACTGATGTGCACCGCGTAGACGTCGCCGCTGCTGCTCAGTACCAGTAGAATCGCCGGCATGCTGGGCGTGGGGGCCAGCGCGTACAGATCCACTAAGTCCGTCTGCGCGGTGCGGCCGCGCTGCGCGTCTGCGACGTCCGTCGAGGCTGTAGTATTTGCTGTCTTTGCTGCGACTGCGTTGTCTTCCGCGCCGGTGGGCACGTCGTCGTCCGACTCCTTGTCAATAGGGATGACCTCATCGAAGGCCTGCCGCTCTGCCACGCCTTGCTGAGGCGAGTTCGCTAAGTGGGACGCCGTCAGCACTGTGCCGCTGGTGGGGCTGCTCGTCATGTGCACCTCGTACACGGGGAGGGCCGCCCTCTTGGCGCTGGCGGCGTAGACGCTGGGGGACGCAAACGGCGGCGACGTGGCCGCGGGAGACGGCGCACGAGAAGCACCTGTAGTAGACTTGTGACGACGGATGCCGGTGCTCGTTGACGTGCCGTCTTCACCAGTTTTCCCGTTCTTTGGTTTTGCTGCCGCCGATGCGGGGACGGAGGGGGTCACAGACGACGGGGATGGCGCGCCATTCGCCGCTTTGCTCGACACCTCTTCGTTGGTCTCCAGCAGACACCGCTGCATCAGCGGCCGAAGAGCCACACGCCGATGCCGCGGCAGCACCACCCCCAACCGAGAGCGGCTCGTATCGTAGATCATCATGTCGCCGGTCACAAACAGCACGTACAGGACGTGCGGGGCAACCGGGTGCCAGCACACGCTGCGCACTATCTCCGGCATCTTCAGTGCGCACACCGCGGCCGGCTCAACCGCAATATCGACGATGTAATGGTGGCGCTGCACGTTGCTGATCACGGCGATTTGATGCCCATCTGGTGACGCGTGCAGGGAGTGTCGAAAGAGCGGCGATGCCAGCTCCTCGTTCGTTGTTAGGACTAAGGCACGCTCAGCCACGTCGGCCGTCGCGGTGCTGCGCTCACGAGTGGCCTCAGCGGTGTAGTGCTCCAACTCGGTAGCGGTACAGGGAAGGGCAGCGTGGGGGTTGAAGCGCGCGTGGCGGGCTAGCGGCAAGGCGGCCAGCTGCTCCTCTGAGGGAAAGGAGCTGGAGAACAGAAACAGACTATCCGTGACATCCTTCGTGGCGGCCAGGAAGGTGTCGTTGCCGATGTGCACTACACCGTTAGACCTCATGCTGAGTACGCTAAACAAGATCGAATGAAGGCAACGAGTTCTCGAGGGAGAGAGGACAAAAAGGTCGGGCACGTTTGACGACGGAAAACACAGAGTTGATCTCTTCGGAAGTTGAGGACAGAAATCAGAGAGAGCGGCAGAAGAAGAATTGTAATACAGGAAGGAGAGGAGAAGCGCCGTGGAGTTGAAGATCTGCTGCAGACAGACGTGCGACTTACAGTCCGCAGTTCATGACAAATGAAGGAGAGATCAACTCCCCTTCACACCGTGTAACGGCTGAGGTGCTCTTCCTATTAAGAGCGTTAAAAGGGCAAAAAACAACAACAGACGAACAAGAATACTCGCAGGCGCCGGGCGGAACACCGCAGGCGATCTTCTCTTGCTGTTGTCGCCGTTGCAGCGACGTTGCGCACGAGACGACTCCCGCGGGAGGTCACAAAATGCCACGCGGTCGCCTCGAAAAGGCCACGACGGTGCTCTCTTCTTCCGTTTGTTATTTACATATATATATAGATATATTTCTCACCTTCCTCACGCTCATGGCTAGACAGAAAAAAAAAACTTCGCCTCCACGCAGATCTGCAGAAAGGTTCAGACGCACCTGCGTTGTATTGCGAACTTTTCTGGGCCGTTCCGCAGCGGAGCGTGGAGAACATGCGCGGTGCGTAGGAGGTGTAGTGCGTACAGACAACCAAACGGAAATAAAAAACAAGATAAATAGATACATACGTGTGTGGGTGACTCTAGAAGACAAAAACAAAGTAGAAAAGAACGCGAGAAGTCAGTGCCTCCCGTCGAACTCGCGTGGATGTGCTAAAGCTGGTCCGGCGGAGAGTCACCACGTCCTAGAGCGAAGCGACAAAAGGGGGAAAATACGCACACGCAAACACACACACACATGAAGTGCCTCGTGCTCTCCTTTTACAGTACAATAATACATCGGTACGTATGAAACAAAGCCAGGCTCCATAGAAGAGGAAAGGAAATGAAAAAAGAAAGAGCACAGAAGTACTTGAAGCCTTGGCAACCATCGTTATTACGCCGGCATCATCGTGTCACCAGACGGGATGTTGTACACCGAGAGCTTGATGTGGCCATCACGCGACGCCGGCCGCACCGGCACAAAGGCGGCCGGGCAGTCGTGGCGCATGTGCATGGGCGGCACCTGGTACGCGTTGGAGTTGGTGGTCTCGAAGTCGCGATTCTCGGGCATGGCGTCCTGGTTGTCACGACGCATCGCGCTGCGGGTCATCGGCACCTCCTTCGGCGGGTACTCCGCCGTGTAGCTCGTGACGCCGTCGAAGGGCACGTTGCCCTGCGGGGTGTCGTCCGCCTTGAAGCTCTTCGGCGGCTTGGGCAGGGCGTTGCGGTCAGCGAGGTCGCGCACTGGCTCCTCCATCGCCCCCTTGGTGGTGGAGTAGGTGCCGGGCAGCTTCGGCATTGGCTCCTGCTTGCGCCGGACACGGTTGTTCTCGGGCATCCACCCCGGGTAGTCAGCGCGGTTCGTCGACGTGCCTTCAAACGGCATCGGCGCCGCCGCCGCCTCGCGCGGCTTGTACGACTCTGCAGGGCGAAGATCTTTGCCCTCCAGCAGCTCCGCCGCCTCCTGATTCGTGGTCTTGAAGTGACCTTCTTCGGCCTTGGTGGGGAAGACGGTCTGCCGCGCGCGGCGCGGGCGCTCCCGCTCCGAGTTCTTGCCCACGTACTCATCGCGGTAGGTCGTCTCGCCCACAAATGGCACCTTCATGCCGGGGCAGTGGTGCTTGCCACACTCACAGATACGGCACACACAGGTGCGGCCATCGCCGTAGTCGAGACTGGCAACGGAGTGCAGCTGCGTCATCTTTTCTGTGTTGTTTTTGTCTGTGATGGGACGGAATGATTGAACGAGAAAGGAAAAGTGACGACGAGGTGCAAGCGGAGAACTACAATAGCAAGAGGTGGCGTGCACGATCGATGTGTTGTGCGTGGTGGTGATTAGTGGGGGGTGAGGTAAGTTGCTTAAAAGAAAAGGGAGGGCCTCATGCGAAACAGACGCAGAAGAAAAAGCGCTGGGTGAGAGGCACAGACAACGTCTCCGTGTAGGTGCGCAGTATCTTGCGTTGTTTTTCGTGAGGTATGCACAAGCAGAAGGCGGCTATAAGAGGAAGAAGGCGAAGGATAAAAAAATAATAAAAAACCTTTACAGCTGTTGAAAGAAAGGAGAAAAAGAGGGAGCGGAGGAGGCAGCAAAGAGAAGATTCAAAAGCGAGTGAGAAAAGCGAAGAAAGAAACCGATGGGCGAAGACGGCGGTCCAGCGAAGCGCCGCGGGAGCAGCAGCGCCTGATTTGGCTCGGGCTGCATACATGCTTTCACGTTCAAGCACACAACATCAACAAGAGACAGTATCGCACCGGAAAAGGCCCTCAACGCCGCTATGTGGAATCGCTAAGCACCGCTTCAGCTTTGCAAGATGGAACTCGTTACACCAGTTTGTCGGTCGACACCATCGCGGTGATGAAACCAAAAAAGAATCCAGGACAGGGGAGTGTCTAGGAAAACAGAGAAGGGTATAAAGAGGGCGAGATGGTTTGAACACCGCACGCCGCACACACGCGTGCTCGTGCAGAAGGCGTTTTTCTTCTCTTTTATGAAAAAGAGGTTCAACGTAACGAGAGTCGCCAGCGTGAAAATGAAAGTCAGGATGAGACACGTAAATGAACGGATCTTTCAAACAGCAATAACAGTAATAACACATGGGAGAGCGCTGATAAACATCAAAAAACGAATCAGAGACGCACAGCTCGAACAACAATAATAATAAACATCAAGGCAGCGAGAGACAACGACGGAGGGATTTTTTTTTGATTTCGCTGCTCATCGCCGCTGAGAGTAAGGTGCCTGCATCTTCACAAGTCGGTACGACAGCTCCGGCAACGTGCGGTTCATCGTGGAGCTCAGCGCCACATCCCGCTTCAGTCGAGGAGCTGTCATAGCACCGCCGTACCGACTCAAATGCAGCTGTACGCTCTCCTTCGTGGACGCCGTGCAGATGTGCATGTTGCCTGTGGCACGAATCGGCCCGTTTGAGGAGCCATGGCTGAAGACGGACTCCGCATCGCTCCCTTCCTCCGTATAAGAGGCGGCAGAGGCGCGCAGCGAGTCAGCGGCGGCGACAACTTCGTTGTGCTCCCCCGCTGAGGCGGCCCGCCACTGCTGTCGCTGCGCGGCGGCGGCGTGCTCGGCAGCCATGTCCCGCAGCGTCGCTTGCTTCCGCGCTTCCGCTACTGCACTGCGTGGTGCAGCCAGCCTGCCGCAGTAATACGCCGCTTCCTCTTCTGCCGCTGCTCGTTCGCGCTCCCGCGGCCCGTGGTGCGAGCTGTAGCTGCCGATCCACGGGGGCAGATCACTAGCGTCCAACACCGGCCGCGACGGCACAATGCGATCGCGGTCGACGCCCGGCATGTACACGGCGTTGTTGCGGCCCACCGGGAACTCCACTTTGCACCCCCGCTGGTGCATGACGAGGCCGTAGGTGGTGCTGCCGTACGCGGGCTCCGCGTAGCGCCGGGGCTGCGCGAGCTGGTTCAGGTGGGCCTGCCGTGCACGCAGCGTAGCCGACTCCGCCGCACTGAGGGAGCGGCGTCGGCCGCGGGTGGCGAGACGACGTTGGTGCCGTTCATCACGCCGCTTGCGCTCCTCCAGCGCCGCCTCCTCCTCCGCACGCAGGCGGGCGGCTTCAGCTGCCTGCCCCGCTTCGTAGGCGCGGAAAGTTTCTTCACGCTGCCGCAGCAGTTCTGACTCCGGCACGGAGTCGCGGCGGTGCGCGATGCTCCGCACACGTGCCGCGTCCTCGCGGTCGACGGCGGAGGCGTAGTTGGCGTATTCGTTCGCCGTGTAGAACGCTACGCGTGGACCGCCGTAACCCATTGTGTGTGTGTGTGTGTGTGTGTGTGTGTGCTGCGGAGTGAAGTTGGGTGTGAAGGAGGG